CCCACCTTGATATTTTCACTCCATCGCGATTAATAAAACAGAACGATTTAAAGTGAGGAAAGTGGCGTAGACTCCATCAAAGAGAGGGATCTTGTCAAATATCGAAATAATTTTCTCTTTCCTTTTAGTTAGTTTTTTTTTGTTCAATTAAATTGTGTTCGGTTATTAGTCAGTTTTTCAATTGACGCACAAAGAAGAGGAAATTCGCGAATGGAGTCATGTGACTACTAGGGATACTAACTTCATGGAAAGGAACGTTAACGTTCAGCAAAGAATGAAACCAGGAAACAACCGCAAATATTTCAGAAGTACTACTTATTCGTAGCTCTGTGGTAATATATGTGGAAACTGGCATGTTAACATAACCTTTCCTTGTACTCGGCCTTTGTTTCGACAAAAATGATAGACTTCATAAGACTGGAGTTATTTATTCAAAATGAACAAAAGTTATTTATTAAAATTGTTTACAACAGTTCTAACTTCTAATACACTGTGCCATTCCATTTCTTTGACATTTCTGTCGGTGTATACTTTTAATTTCTATGCTGCTATAAACATCTTTCTTGTCTCACGTATATGGCATCAAAATAGCGTCTCTCGTCTTCGGCAGTAACCCGACAATAAGGTCACCTAAGCCTTTTCCAATTAAATATTCGTCTGTTTGTGCCATGATCGAATTTGAAACGTCCTACATTTGACCAATCAGAGCAAACCTTCTAAATTTCAGCCAATCAGGAGCACGTCAACATCACGCGAGTGCCAAAGCTGTGATTGATACACTTTGTGTCTTCTCATCTGAGATGTGGACAGTTTCTTTAACCAATCACAGATTAGACATTTCCGCATAACTTATGACACCCAGTAAATATATTGCTCTAATAGCGTAGATTTCACCTAGAACATTAAACAGTTGAAGAGAAAATCGCTTGCAATTTTGTCGACAAAAATACTTGCTAATAAGTTTATCTTGCCCAATTATTTCGACCGACATTTATTCAACTTAATTTACAATTAAAATAACTTAATATGTCTAATGTTTGATAAATAATCCTGTTCGATATAAGAACTCCTCTGTATTTTGAGCTTTTTTTAAACAAACTGACAAGGCCTAAGGATACTAATTGAATACATACGTCATATAAAAATGCGAATAAATGTTTTAGACATGATCTATAATTTTTTCTGGTGCTCGTACATAGAGTTATAATAATCGCTTAGAATAGTAACAGTCTTTTAATGTTTCCTGACGGTCGACTGAATCATAACTTCAATTTCATAGTAAGCATATGCGTCAAAAAGTTACTGCCATTTCATGTTCATTGGTTGGCAAACCTTAAAAATCTATTTAAAAAGAGTTATGTGAAAAAGTGGTGAGAATTACAAACGAACTCATCATAATCATTTAAAATTCTTCGAAGCAACATAGTCCCTCACAAAGAAGCACAATGAAAAGTTAGCATAAAAAATTAAACCAAATTCCGCTGAGCGCTTTTTCGCGGGCTCAATGGACTATGCTAAGAAAGATAAACTGGTCATGATCTGGCAGCTAAGAATTGCTTCTAATGACTTCCTATACTAAAAGAGGCGAACAAAAAGGTCTTACTAAATATTCATTTGCACGTAGAATAGTAAAAAAGTGAACAAAGATATCGAATAAAATTTCATTCTTACGAAAATAAAACTTTAAAAGCATCCTGTAAGGACTAAAAATTAAAATAAACTCAATTTGTTCTTTGATTAAAATATCTATAAACTAACCTATGCAAACATTTGCAACGTTTTCTCCTATAATTCCGAATATAAATCACGTCATAGCACAGGGAATTTTTCTCGTCCCTTTTTAAAGTTGCAACTCCTTGGATTTGAAAAAAACAAAAACAAAAACAAAAAACTATTCTTAACTGGTGTACACGCCAGACACACCAGTGCACCCGACACACACTTCAGTGATTGAGTGTCACCTCAACGCATTTTGAGGCTGTACGAGATTAAGAAGACTTCGTTCCTTCATTTGATTTTCACGTGTGACGGTTTACTTGAACTGCACATGCTCTTGTGGGTACATCATCAGATCGAGGTCAACTTTTGAAGTGCATGGTTGAATATTATATAAGTCTATCCTCATGCTCTAACGCGGGCGCAACCTCGACGTTTTTATTCGGATCCAGTCTACGCATGAGCTCTGGATCTTCCGGGAGCTGGAGAGAGCAAAACTTTAAGAACCAAAGAAAGATCCCGACTTGACTCATGACATCGAGTGTTCCTTTAGCGAGATCGGTTGGGTCTGTGTCGGCCGAAGAAGGACGAAGAACGTTCGGGCCAAAAACGGTCGCCAAGTTATTTTGTCCCATTTTGTTCTGTTCCTGATGTTCACTTAATCTGTAAGCAAATGTATTTTGACGATAATTTAATTAATAGAGTAACAAAACAAACGCTACAAAGGCAAGAATGACCATACTATTAAGGGAGCTATGTAAAAACATTAAAGAGTTTTTTTTTTTTTCACCCAGCAAATTACCTTGAAAAAGACCACTACAGATCAGTTTGCGGACAGGATGGAAATAAAACAAATGACTGATTGAAGAAGACTGAAAGGTATTGCAAACAACAAACCGAAGGTGGCTCTGAGCCAGTCAGTACTTCTGAATTGTCTTTTACCGGTTTTTGTACGAAACTCGACGAGGAATGCATTGTGTGAGTTACCAGCTCTCTCAAATGTATATTACAGGTACCAAAATAGCCGTTTGCCTTTCTCCCTTATCTTTTACCATAATTATAATTTCTTGTGGATGTGAAACACCACCCCCCCTGCCCCGCATTTTACCTCCTTAGATGATCCAGTAGATAGATACTAGTGAGGCGGTTTGGTTTCGGTAAAGATTCAAACAACTCCATCATTGTTTTCTTTTTCTCCTCCGGATCTTTAATTCCTAAAACCAAAAAAAAGTACGTCGACGTTAGGAAAAAAAATCGGGAAAAACAATTAACCGTGTACAAAGGAAACATATACAGGTTATGTGTCTGTATATATATATCGACAAAAGCACCTCATCCACTTGCTTCAGTGTGTAGGTATCTACCAATGATACAAGCGATGAAGGGAAGTGGAGTGGTTCATGCCATTAAACCAACCACAAAGAAGGGGTGTGTGTTATCCCGACTGGAAAAGGGAAAGTGTCCAATGAAAAGAGGGTGTCCCTCTAATGAAGTTTACACTTAAACACGATAAGGCAGATTTTTTTCCATTTGGCACCAAAGTTTGTTTTCTTTGCATGAAGGTGCTCGAAAGGACAGATGCCACTGCTCGATCAAAAAGAGTGACTGTTTAGACTAAATCATTATTGTTCGTTGTGTATTGAACCGTAATAAGCTAACATAGGTAGCAGAGACGATGATTTAACAAGCAACAATTTTACCCCATAACCCACTGAACCCACATTCCAAATTCCCAGGGGTGATCTTTCCTTTCATCACAAAGTAAGTTAAGGGGGCAAACTTGAGGTAATAAAAAGAACGGTGAAAAGTGATTTACCGTTTGCTTCAACAAACTTGAGATAAAGGTCGTCGGTAAAGAGTGGCTCTGGAAGGTCCCTGAGCTACATCTTCAGAAGCCCTGCCACAGCATGGATGTCCGCCTCAGCAACTTGCACTAAAGCACTCTGACTGTCTAAAAGTGGTTAATCAAAAGCGACCTCAGTCAACTTTAGACCACAGAAAAAAGGCCTGCGAAAGACAGTCGCTTTCAGGAGGGTACATTTGGGATCGGACATTGGCACTGATAGCAAAATCATGATTTCGAAGAGCTTTGTCCGTCTGTTCTAACTAATTTCTCGGTATTGTGCTAAAGTAAAATCGTCTCAAAGGAGGCTATAACATACTAGTTCGGTAATATTAAGAGACACAAGAGAACTAATAATGGAACAAGACGAAACAAGCATGGCTGAAGATGCAGACAATTAAGACGGACTGACATTGACGAATAAGCAATATTGGCGCACCTCGCCAAAACTTGGGGAATATCGAGTCTTCTAAAGCACATTCCGTGGCCTCATCACTACACTAACAAATACATAATTGTGTATACAATGCACTTACTGTTGTCAAACGCATCTTTTAGTCTTCGGACATCAGTAGTTGCTCCTGATAAGCGATAAATTCCTACTTCGTGCATTCCTGAATTAAGACGAGATGCAAACAATTTTGAACAAAATATTTTAAAATAGTAGCAGTCATTGCAATTCTTTGCAGTTTCACACACTTATTGAAGGTTTGCAAAAATAAAACGAAACGAAATGAAACAAAACACTAGATAGAGCAAAGGCTGATAGTTTCTAAAGAAACTGTTTGGGGCTGCGTCGGTGGGGGTAACGAAATAACTTCAAAGGGCTAACGCTCGAAACGTCAGCTTTTATAATCGTAACGGTGGCCAATTTACCATTTCAACTTTGTTGATATATTCAAATTACTCGATAGAGCAGATACATTTGTTGGGCAGACTTTAGGACTCGCACTTGCCAAACCATCCTGGAATCCAAATTGACGCAGTTTAACTCTACCCACCTCTTTTTTCGATTTCCTGTATACAGCCAATCACAACTAGGGGAATATCACTTTCCTCTCGTCTGCAAGAGAAACCCATACCAAAGGTTAATTAACCCTCTCACTCCCAAAATCTCATTAGTTATTCTCCTCACTGTCTGCCACACAATTCTTAAGATGTTCGTTTGGAGAATTTGGTATTGGATCAACTAGTAATCTAATTGATATTTGTCCTTATTCTCATCACTTGTCTACTTGATATTGTATTGATATTGTAAGGAGAAATTCTGTCTTGGTCATTCATGGAAGGGTTAAAAACCATCTAAAAACTGAAAAGTGACGGTTGAACATTTTCAATCCACAACAAAGACATGTCACTCACTTTGAAACTGTCGTGATGTCAACTCCAAACACTCCTTTCTCGCTATAAGACTTTTTCCGTTGAATCCCGTGAGGGGTCTTGGAATACTGTAGCGATAGCGTCACAGCGCCCTGCAAGTCAAACACAACACGTTCGCAAGGCTGTATTTTGTACAAGTACATATAACATATGTAATTTATTTCAATTAAAACACAGTATTAGATTTCTATTTCAGTCAAAGGTAACAATGAACCGAAAGCAATCTTAACGTTTAGAGACAACTAAACTAACGTGACCGCGAATTAATGAAAGCTGTCATCGTAGTAATGGGGCGATATTACCTACTGCCTTATTTCAAACAATGAAAAAGTAAGAAATAAATTATTTATTCCCCCACCTGCTTGTCTAAGGTTATTGTGATGGTCCGTTTCTTCAGATCCGTCAACTTTTCTTTTACAAGCTTTAGCAATAAAAAGGACAACAACTGTTAGCAAGCCACACACTTCAGTTCAAGTACGGAAGTTATCAAAACAACGCACACGGCCGCGTATTCAAGCGCGCGCCCGCGGCAACCTGCAGCACAGGCGCATGCGCGCTTGTTTCGTGCCTTTCGTTTCGCCCTTAGCCTTACGATAAATTCTTGGGCTCGCTCTGCGCTACCTTCCGCGCGCGAGAAACATCGGATACACAACACCTCACCTCTATTTTCCCTTGCGCACAGTGCTCATCAAAATTAAGTCTGCTCTTGCTGTAAACATGCAGCTTGAGTTCTCTTGTTCCTTCTACCTCAACATCGAAGTCCTATAGGATAAATTAAGGTATTGGCACTTATTGACGAAAGCGTTTTACAACTCTGATGATAAAGGATGAAGTCAAACCGAGCTAGCGGCGATTTTAAATTTTTGCCAAGTCTCATCAAGGGACTCTTGGATGGCTGCATGGGGCGGTGGTTCAGCAGGAAAGAGTAAACTTGTTGTTGCTTTCATCTCTTGAGAACGAATAGAGAGTATCATTAACGTGACCCCACCCCGAAAAGTACGCTAGTCGATCACATTTTTCCAAGACAGTCACACTACATTCTCGTTAGGCGAGTAAAACAAAGTGTATAGCGACCAGCAGGTGTAACAAGAAGTCCGATTTTCCTCCACTTACCTGATCCCATACTGGGTCAGTCGACGCTTTACACGTTTTTGTCCTGGCTTTGCGAACAAACTGTCCATGATGATCAACTTCTACCACGCAACTGAGATCTAAGTCAAAATACCAAGGAGAACTTAAAAAAATTGAGAACAACCAAGGATGTGAAAAAAAATTTAACAGTTTGAAGGGTGAACGTTTGAGTACACCATTCGTACAGAACACAGTAAAATTTCCAGATGTGCGTCGAAAGCAATCAGGGATTGCATTGGTATAGAAAACTCGCGTCAACGACTGAACTAACCAAATGTAAAAATTTACCAGACAGCCGACTTCCCCTCATTTTCCCTCGTTGCAAGCACTGAGTTTGATTGCCATAACTCGTTTACTCTCACTTACCCTTTGTTATGTATTTTAAAATAATGAAAATACGTTCTACCTTAAAATATTCACTTGTTCTGAATCACCGTTCTATCATAGTGATTACTTTCAATTCGCTTTGGGTTTCACTCTTAGGAAATGCACTCCCAGTTCATTTGGAGCCGGTGACTTACGTAAAATACATAATTATGTTCTTTTAGATGGTCAGTATTACTTAACGGCTTTAACAGAGAATAATTACCCTTGCTATTAATCACTTTTAGTTGAGCCTTCATAAACCTCGTTCAACCTGTATAAACCAATCGCGGCGAAGCTGCTGTGCTTCTAGCCAATCACAAGCGGGCACAAGTTCGCTTACGTGCCTTTCATACGCTAAAGCTCGGTTACGTGATTTTTGCTTGAGTGGTATTTGCTTTCTTTATTAAGTTTTTGTGGGCGTTTGATTCATATTTAATCTATTTTGATTTAAGCCCTACGGAAGTCTGGATTATAACACCTCTCCATAAGATTATCTAAGTTTTCATTTACCGTTTTTGTGAAATCCGCGTCCAGAGTGTATATGAACGTAGAGCAATCCATTAAGAAGACTTTTGTCTGCAACATAACGATTAAATATAAATACAAACAATAAAAATTGCTTTGGGGTAACGTTAGGGGTACGGCCTGTGAGAGGAGGATGCCTTTCTTCTTTTATTCCTTACTTTTTTTTTAATCAACAACACTTTTCATTTCATTAAAAGGGAAACATCATGTCATCCCAAATCAATCCCTAATAAAAATTAAGGATGGATCTAGAAAAATTGCGTTCAGTACCTTCTTTCATGGATACTTTTCCTAACGACCTCTGAGTTCTCAGCTGAAAACGAGACAATATCTGTTAGGACACTATTTTCGAAAGCGAAACTTTCGCACAATGTATCTGAGGGCAAGACAAGCTCATGCTGGGTGTTAATAGTTAGTTTGACTCATTTCCAACCTTAACTCTGGGAAATTCCTTGCGGCTTCCTGTTGCGTGCCGTCTTTTCCATTATTTCTCAATGTCTATTCCTATTTTAGCACGTCAGGGTTACCTTAAATAACGTGAGATCGCTCACAGCGGAAAAATCCGGCGATTAAATATCCGTCAATTAGTGCTGCCAGACACGGAAATATCCAGATTATATGTCGATTTTATTAGAAAAATGGCTGCCTGGTTAGGATTTGACATGGGTAAATGATCCTCTGAAAGTGTGCCAATATCGTAAAACGATTTACACCAGATCTTGTAAATCTTATTAAAGCAACTTGCCACCCAGATATCCCGGGCTGGGGAGGACAAGCGATGTTTACTTTCTTAAAGTTAGGTTTGTAACAAAAATCTACCTTTGCACAGCTTGAGGCTGAACGAAAACATCTCGTCACAGTTATATATAAGTGATATTTTTTTAAAAAGATAACAGCATCGCAGTTCCAATCGTAAAGACAAAAGATATTTGATGTATAATGTTTGTTTAAGAGCCGATGAAAATGTTAAAATTGCACGAGATTGAGAGGATTACAAACTGATAACATACTGGGCAAGCGAGACTTGAAAAACTAATTCGTTTCGATTGATTTCCACATAGGAACTGGGCTTGGATGTAAGAAAGAAAACAGCCCAAAGCGCTCTCGGTCCTCTCCAAAGACAAAGAAAAACACAAGAAATAACGCGAAACGTTCAAGTGCAATTCCCGTCGTAGTTTACGATTGCAACATCTCTTGTACAAACAATGCCAAGTATTATAAGCTTCCATACTTTAGTAATTTTTTTCAGTTCTTTATGACGTTAAATTAAGCGAGTTCAGTATCTGAAGCTTTATAAAGTCAAAACGATGATGTTCAGTGCTTACCAAGGACTGCGAAGCTCTTAAAAAACTGGAGTCTGAGCCTCTTCGAAGAAGTCGTATGTTTGGCGACCAAGAGCCACGACGAAGAAGAGGCGATTTCGGCTTTTCACCAAATTCTGCATTAGTTTCCGATCCTCTCCGAGCAAGCCTCGGAGAGAGAGTGAACTTAACTTTCGTCGCCATAATTTTGAGAAGCAAACGAACAAAACAGGGAGCGACGCGAGCTTAATGCTAGTTCAGTAATTCAGCGTAACTAGTAACGAGTCGAGGAAGGCCTGAATAAACAGATGTGCTGAAGTGTAATTAATCTGTCACATTAATCCCCGCTGTACACCGCTCACATACGTTACCCGCGGTAAACAAAAACACTCGACCAATCAGAGAGGATGTTTATCAAAACACTAATAAAAATAGCGGTTTCCTAACCCCGGGATTTTCATAGAGAGGTTTAACAAGCTGTCATTTAGAATATTGTTTCATTTGAATTTTGCACTATGAAGAAGAGAATTCCACATACAAATGAAGTAACCGACCTTCTTACAAGCCTCTAGGAAGTGATGAAGCTCTAACACACTAAGCTGTCCTTCAGCAGTTGGATTATCTGAGGTAAAGAACAAAGCTTGCAATCAGAAAGCCGTGATGACTGAATGTGACGTTTTTTCGAAAGACATGACATGCCGGTATAAGAGGCACTGTTTCGGTATCTTTACAAGATAATAACAACAACGTTGAAACGTTGAAAGCAGGACACTTTATTTCAAATATGCAAATCGATTTAAAAACGCTTTGAAAGAAGTAAATATTGACGCGGAAATCAAACTTACGTATTGTATGAGTCGTCCTTTATTAACAGAACTATACAAAGATGTGACAATGGTTCTTATATCATTTCTATAGCTTTATATTTTTTTACCTTGAATTTGTTCCAATAGAGGAATGATGGCTTCTTTCCATTCCGCTCTTTCAACATCACTTTTACAGAGTAATGTGTATGTCTGTAAAAATTAAAACAAGTTTGTACATGATTGCCTAAAGTGATGTAATTTGAATGTAAAAAAAGTTACTTTAAAAAATTGGAAATCTGGGGACTACGTGACTGATCAACAAATTGATTCTGTTCTAAATATGCTATGTTATCGCTATTGCATACAAACCTTTGCCACCAGGGGCTGGAAGAACAACAATTAGAAACAAAATTGACGCAATAAATTTTCACGACGCGTAACTTACAAAAAAAAAAATATATTAGGAGAAGCAGGACGATTTTCGGGGAAATCTTGGATTGAGGAACTTTTAGAAAGAAAAATCTTCAATATACTCCTAATTTGGAAGCATTTTTTACTTTCTTCATCCGCAGCTGTTTTTTGAACGTCACGGTGTGTTACTAAGCTTGTCGTGTCACAGTTGTTCAGTCCTTGTCCTTCCTTTTAAGGATATCCTTCAAAAGGAAGAAGGTTAAAGGACAAGCTAAGTAACACACCGTGACATTCAAAAACAGCTGCGGATGAAAAAAGTAAAAAAGGCTTCAAAATTGGCAGTGTATGATCGAACCTTTTCCTTTCTAAAAAGTTCCTCAATCCAAGATTTTCCCGAAAACCGTTCTGCTTCTCCCAATAGGGGAATCCTTGTTAACAGTATGTGCCTCATTAGCATAAGCAATTCAGTTTCTGATGGAGCTAAAAATAAATCAGTTCTGAATATCGAAAGGTCAAAGTACGATTAACTCGGCCAATGAATACGAGCCTGATGCATTGAATACTTTTTGTGCAACATGGGTTTAAAAACTCAAAATTTTACATGGAATGTATGAGCTCATTAGCGCTTTTGCCACCCAGAAATTTTGCAGTTTTTGATGGACTATTTTTCCTTAAATATTACACCCAAAGAGCTAAAAACTTCACCACGTACTAAGGTTTTCTAGCTCTTTAGCTGCCTGAAGTCAATTTGTATCTAACATGCTTCCTTCTTTACGCAAAGCCGTATGCAAATGAGCAAAAATGTAAACAATGACGTCAGCTTGAATCCGCCTATAGACCACTTTCATAAATGGCTGCCGTATAAATATTCTTTTGTTTAAATTTAAATTAGCCCTTCTGGCCTCGCTTGAGATAATGTATTCTTTTGATTTTTTTACTGGAGAATAAGGCCTGTAGGGCTAATTTAAATTTAAACAAAAGAATATTAATCCGGCAGCCATTTATGAAAGTGGTCTATGTTTGTGTTTTATGCATCGATGCATGCGAACGATACCAAAAAGAACCAGGATACCTAAACGTATCCTGGTTCTTTTTGTTGGCTTTCTGGTGCATTCCGAGAAATTAAAGTGTCGAAGCTCCTTTAGAGTTAGTTGATCTATATTAAGCCCATAGATGAGGAACGCACAACACACCTTGCCATGTTTGTGGTATAGTGTGAGCGGAAGACTGGGAATGGCTAACAAAAGAGCTGCTTCCTGTTCAGCTAGACGCTTTTTTAGTTTCTCGACAACTTTGGAGGCCGATTGTGCTCGACGTCGCTGTAAAGGAAAAAACAAGAAAACGAGGGTTAGTAAAAGAAACCTTCGTATCGCCTACTAACAAATGAGGTTTCAAAAAACGACGCAACTAAACGATGCAATAAATGTTTTTTTTTTTTTTTAAATTTACAATAACACTCACTAAAAGCATTCTTTTGTTTGAGCACTTTTGTCAGAAATCCTATGAAATCATCTGACCAGAGGGAAAGTTTCCTAATAATCTGATTTATTACACGACTCGGGCAGTCAGAGGGCCAATAACTAAAATCAACCAATCAAAATGCTCTATTGCCTGTCAATATTCTCTTAGTATTGGACCGGGCACTGTCCCGAATGGTCCCGAATGATACCGCACTTGTGTCCCTTTGAACTTCAGTCGTATAATAAATCTCTTATTAACCAAGCTTGCTCGGGACCGTACTAGAAGAATATCGGCGCTCGGTCCGTACTGTCAAGACCTCGGGCCGATATTCTCCCAGTACGGCCCTCGCGCTTGGTTTATAAGATATATATATGTGTTGTACCTTGGTTGAAGGTGAGGACTCTGGACTGTGGAACCCACTTACTCCTTCTTCTCGTCGGATTTCTGCTTTGGTGCTTGCAATCCTGCTTTTCAGTAAATCAAAGTCACTTTTGCTTGTCACTGGTATAACTTGTGACGCTAAAAATATAAACAAACAAAATAGGTAAAACAAGGCGAGACTTTCAAATGTTAGAAATAGTGGATCGGGTCAAAGTTTGCTGGTAAAGAAGCTTAAAGACAATTTGCTTGTTTGATCCACATTAAAGTTGACTAGTTCGAATGATTCCCAAGTCCCTCCTTTCTTTTTCTCTTAATATACTTGCCTTCGCACATTTTCTTGTAATCCCTGTTTTCAAAGCTCGTCTACCATATTTAAACTTGCAATGAAAATGTTTAAAATCCGGCAATCCTAGACACTCCGTCAAACCAAGTTTTAGCTTTTGAAAGGTAAATGTGCTCAGACTACACTGCGTGCGAGGAGCACGTTTTGACTAAATCAGACTCGCGTGTACGCACGTCCGAGAGGTCGCGTGCGAAGGCCTGAAAAACCTCATTATCAGCGGACCGTTTCTCCACGCGCGTAAATCGCGTTCCAGCCGAGAGCTCACTAAACAGGCTATTAACACACAAACCTTCTGAGTTCTCTGTGGGGTGGAACTGTAATTCGTGAAGGGAGAGATACCATTTACACACGTATTGCTCGCTCCTGTAAATATTCAGAAGAGAAACCTTGTTAGAAAACACTCGCGTTTGTGACGAGAAGTGGATTTATGGCTCAAGAAAAGACACAAAATGAGTTTCAGGTCGATGGGAATTGTCAGGAAGACTAACGGACTTTTTGAAGCTGAAATAACGATACGACGGATCTCAGCATTGCATATTTTTTCAAACATTAAGAAGCCACATGTAACAATAACAATGAGAATAGCGTTATGTAAAAATTATTTAAACGTCATACATAAGCGGAACGGAAGATTGTAGAACACCGACTCAAAGGTAGAACAATCACAGTCATCACAATAACCGATGCAAATATTAATTGTCAAAACATACCTGGCAGTTATCTTTCTCTTTGTACAAATGATGTAGTCATTGAACAAGAAGAGATGTCTAAATTTTCGAACTCCATCTGAAAAAAAAGATAGAGTTGCGGTCTCTCACCGTTAGGGCCTCGAAGTAGAAAAGTCATCATATAAATCCACTTTCTTGTTTTATCCCATTTACTACCACAAGTGCTGACTTGTAACTTCTCCTTAAACTATCAATACATTATCTGGAAAACAGGTGTACATTAACAAGAAAACAGAACTACGATTGATAGGAGATTTAAACCGCAATATGAGAAATACCTGCCAGCTCTACTATAAATCCGTCTTTGATCAGTCTGTGATCTCGCTTGACTCTTTGCGGCGTACCCTAAAGAAGTTCAAAAGTTAACTTTTGGTTTAACTCAAACCGGTCATCATTTCTCATTTGATAACATTGCCAAACCTAACCTTAGCATGATACCACAAACGTTTCACCTTCAAAGCTACGTAACGGGACCTACTGTGCAAAGGTACTGTACCTTTTCATGAAGCAAAGGTACGACAGTCACAAAACCATAGATGAGTCAGTTATCAAATCATTTAATATTTGAAAATATTATGACACTTGCTGCACAAAAAAAAATGGAAATAATATAAGGGAAGAAATCACGAGTTGCATGTGTTAACTTACAGAAGGCAATGAACCAAAACGCATGAAGCGTCGAATAGTTTTTAAAAACGGTTTTAAGAGACCTTCGTCGGTTTGTGGGCTTCTTTAGGACTTCTTTCCACACTATGCAAGAAACAGTCTCGCTAAATTCCAAGATTTTAAGGACCGTCATGGGTAGGGAAGTGTATAGGGATGGAGGGGAGGGAGGAGGTGCAAATTGTAAGAACTTCGTCTACCTACCCCTCCGTCTCTGTCATCACCACTGATCTTTGCCAGAAAGTCTTTGGTTTGGTTCAACACATTTGTTAAAAGTTCAAAATCCGCATGATCCTCAGGAGTTTCTCTGATCAGGTCCTGAGTAAAGAGTATTTAATCAGAAATATCGAATTGCACCTCAGTTGATAAAATTATCAGTAGTAAAATCTGTATGAAGAAAACCCTATATTGACGGATCACACTACAATGGAAAGCAGAAAGCCTGAGTTATAATTAGTCACAACTTACCCCTAAGATAACTATATAGCGGCCAACTCGTTCCACTGGTTTGTTGAAAAGAGCTGAGGTAAAAAAAAAGAAACAATAATAATAAATTTGAGAGAGAAATTTTTCGACCTCTTAAATTTTGATCTTAACCAAACTGGAAAGTTGAACACTCCTAAAACACTTTCCAGCAACAAAATGAGTAGAATAAACAAACTTGTTAACTTAGGTGTTCTCTTCCTTGACATGCCAAATTCTCTACGATAATCTACAGAGAAATATAATTATGGCACCTACAACAGAAAATTGTGGGTACCTATTGTACACACCTATGATGTATTAGCCCATTAGTTTTAAGTACCATATTCATAAAACATACCTTCTAATGTTGTCACTTCCTGAATGGAATGAACTCTAAGTTCCTGTTGAACAGAAACATAAAACAGACAACATCTGTCAATTGTCCAAACTGTCTGAGCTTATTCCACTCCCTGTAAAAGTAAGTCACCAGGAGTACTACTATTTGAGTGGAAACCATTCCTCTGTCAATACAACCTCACCTCCCTCCTTTCTTGCCCCACACTTCCTCCCCCCCCCTCACACTTAATGTCAGTTCACTACAACCTTTTACACTCCTGAGCAGAGTCAACCACTCAGAGAGTCTTATGCACGAGAACAAGACTCCTTGGGCCACATCAGGCCTCCTACTGAGAACTATTGATACAAATGAGATTGAACTACAGCAAGATTATCTGGCTTTCAGCTGTGTGACAGCACAAGCTGCCAAGTGAATCAAAGATTAACTTTACACATTCTTAGTACACCTTCCTTTGATTGCATGGTAAAAGAAAACAATGAAAGAAATACATAACTGTACCCTTCAGTATGAAACATCAGTCTTCCTAAAAATAACATACCTTAGAAAATATGTTGTTGAATTGTTCATTATTTGCTTTGCATTTACGTATTGATGACATTGCAGTATGGTAGTTTAATAGGTATTCTTTGTATACATCAAACTGATCCACCTGTTAGAAAAAAGAAAACAAAAAAGAAAGAAAAACATAGACAAAACTATGACAAACATGATTCTGTTTGGCCATCACCTCAGTCAACAGGTAGTGAACTGAAAGTCTTCCTTTGTTACTCAATGACATAAACCACATTATCTATTTAATGGAATACCTATAACTAAAAAATTTCGAGGGTTCTCATTCATACAAAATCATATTATTTCTTGTGAGTAAATTTTCACACTATTTCACTTGAACAGCAGCTTACCAAACTCAAAAACAAATCTCCTATAAGGTGACGGTCGCTCCAGTGTGACACGCGTGTCTCAAGGTCATTATAAAACACACTGTGCATAGTATGTAGATCATCAAGTTTGTGGAAAATCTTGTTGTAGTCAACTGAGGTCAAGATTGGAGCTGATGATTCCATAGACAACTTTAGAGGCTTCATATGCTGAAAATAAACATTGAAAAAAAAAAAAAGGCAAAACATTTAACTCCCCAAGTTATGAATTAGCAGAATAAATTATTTAAGAACTGAAATTACAGTTGGTCCCACAGATAAGCTACATCTCCAGATTTTCTAACTACCACAAGATTGTTATAAAAAAGGAGAGAAAAACTGTGCAAGTTCCCTGGTATAATTAGAGTATTGTACATACATGAGCAATGCAAGTACTTTTAAATCTTATGCAGCACATAATCAGGGCATTATACTCTCCATAGTGTCATTCCTATGCTGAAAAAAGTCTACAGTATACTGAAGCTACTTCAATAGAGCTATGCCACTATAAAAATGTTCATAAGGCTTGAGATATCCAGAATTTTGAAACCACAAAAAATGTAGCTTGGATACAATCATGCACATACAAAATAGGTGTATATTCCTACTTTTAACTGCTTCCACTTGTGATAACAAAATTGAGGACTTTTTCTGCATTAACACAGCCTATACATGAGAAATTCTGCCAGCCCCCTAACAGTTAAAATGAGGTGATGCAAACTCATACCCTCATCTGACCATGCCACTGACCAATAAGACTGCCCACAGTATTTCACTTATTTTACTACAAAACCCTAACAGACATTCCAATTTTTTTTTGTTACCAGCCTTGAAGACAGATAAAATAGCTTACTTTGTATAATAAGTTCAGACATTCCAAGTATCCTTTCTCACCATCCAGCACTCCAGCAACAACCCACTTTCTCTTGTGCAGCTTTTCCGCTTTGTCTCCAGTACCAGCATCCTAACAGACGATGTGTTAAATGTTACAATCATGGCACACAACCACTCTGTGGTGAGTTAAGGTCTCCTTTCTTGTTTTTTACCCTAACATGTTGCTCGAGAGTCACAATTAGGTCTCTATTTCTTCTATGGCTTTCATTACATTCAAATTGTTTTGTATCACTTTAACCTGAGGGTTGGTGCAGCTACTTAATACAGCTAGACATAAAACCAGCTCCTTGAAAAAAGGAGCTGTATTGCAAAGTATGGCATCAAGAGAGCTGCTGATGTCTCTTTGAATATTCACCTGATTAGCTTTTAGATTATCTCCCACCTGACTTAAACCAAGCAGAGACCTTGGCTGATGAGCAAAAATCCATTATATAAATAGGGAGCACTTTTTGAAAACCAAAACTTAAAATGGTCATCAAGAACAATTTAAACTACATATACCACATGTTTTGAAGGACTTCCACCTGGAGAGGGGACAGGAGAAGATGAAAAATCAACACTATTATCACCAATGACAACATGAGCCCCTCGGGCTTTGCGCAGTTTCTTGTGTTCTTCATTATCTGAACCCTGGCTCCGAGGACGAACTACCTCACTGGCACTCCTCCTTGGAAGACGAGGGAGAGAGTCATAGTCCCCTAAGTAACAATAATAATATAATTATATATTGTAAAAAATATACAACTTTTTTTAGAGACATGTTTTGGCATGCTTATACTATTTTCAATCAATGAGTAACTGAACGTGAGTAATTATATAACAGACAAGTAGATGCATAAAATATTTTACAGTATGATGTAATACAAAAGCGGGTACTAATTACAGCGTGACAACAAACATGAAATTAAAGGTGTGAACTAAAATGCTAGAAAAGTGTTATAATGCTGTAATTGTTTGTTAAGTTCAGGTTTGTTTTCCTTTTATCGTTACCACTTTCATTGTTAGTATCCTTTTAGAATTTATCATTATTATCAGATTATTGTTTGGCAAATAGGAAATCTCATGCATGTGAATGCATTTCAAGATTATTGGAAGGATGATGTCATGAAAGTTTTCATAATTGCAACAGCTGTTAAGGCAAATGAGATTTGAAAACTTTCTAATGCATCTGGGGTGACCATTAATAGACATGCTGTGTTTTTTCTTTGTTTGAGACTTTCTCAACAATGTAACTTATTAATACTACTCTTTGCGTTCTCAGTGTGCACTACTTGAAACAAAATTCATTGGAAAATGTTCATACTTGTCTTCAAATGGATCAATAACTGAGAGATAAACCACATCTAATGTTTTTTGAAGTAATTTAGAAATTAGCATTTTATCTTTCTTTAAAAGCACAAAATTTCAAGAGAGTGCAATTTTAAAATCCTGCACAGCTAAAATGTTTTTATACATTTGTCAGTGACCAATACAGAAAAAAATATTTTGCTGAGTATAACAAATGTAGCCTATGTTATCGTGATTATTTCTACAGTAGAAAAGATTATCTCGCACTTTTCAAGTAACTTTGTCTGACAATTTCTCACATTATGCAAATTCAAGCATGCTCTAATCCTTTTAATCGTACAAGGTTATTGCTTTAACTTCAACTTGCAAATTGATTTAAAAACACACAAACAGCTAATGACATGTTCAAGTAAATGAAGTTCAAATAAAACTACTGACTCCCCAAGAAAGTGAAAAATTGTAGACTAAAGTTGAAGCACAAGTTATTTAAATCTCCTAAGATTTCAGACAGTACAGTACCTTTGTTATAATAACAACCACTAACATCTGAAGGTTATGTTTACCCAGATAGCTTTTAGAGCAAAATTGAAATTGAACACCCAGTTATCAGTGCACTTTTGTGACCAATTTTGCTTCTTAGATTGAAAAAAATTTTTTTACAATCTTAACTGCAATTTTGTCTAAAAGCCTTTAAGATACTGAAATCAAATTACAAGATCTGCATTTTGCTTTTAGACAGATGCACTCTTAACGACTTTCTTTATATTGAAGGGCTCAAGTTGAGCAAGACATAGAAATTTTTATCAAAATGTTTACCACAAAGTGAATCTATAATGAGCCAATTACCAGGAATTTTCAAGGTTTTAAATTAAAAGTAATACATATGATGATTCTTGACGGCAACAATATTTTGGATTAAAAATGTAAACTTTTGTGTTGGTTACTAAACTGTGATTTTTAAAAACCGTGCAAGAAAAAGAAGCATGACAAAAAAAATTAATGTTAAAAGTTAAGAAGGAAAATAATGTATTTTCAACAGACGTTTGCTTCCCTAACCACAAATTTTATAAAACTATCTAAATGTATTGAAATAATAAAATAATGAGAAACTATTTTTTACCATAATATATTTTTTTTCACCATAAATAACAAGAAAACAGACTTTCACCTTTTAAGGAAACAATACTTTTTTTCTCTACAATTCATGCCTTATGGAAACCTGTCCATCGATTTGGAAGTACCTCTGTTTCTGCGATAACATTATCATACTTTTACACAAAATGTTGTGATTCATAAATTATTTTCAAAATACAGCAAATAGAATTTGAGTCTTTGTTTGAATATGATCCAAAAACAAGACCATCCCAAAGCAATTAAGAAGAGAGATCCTACAATTGCTACATCTGTCAGCATTCTATTTCAAAGAAAAAATGTTTCAGTTAAAATATGAGCAATACAGTATTCACAAACACCTAGGGATTATCAATAAAAGTCCTAGTGACTAATAACAAAGAGTTTAAAGGAAATTACAATGTGTCATGGCAAAAACATCGCAACAAACATTGAGATTAACTTTAATTTGTAGCTTATTGGAGTTGGAGTGCCTCAAGGCTCGGTCTTAGGCCCGTTACTTTTATTACTTTTTTTTCACTTCTCCTGTTGTGGATATTATTCACCGTCATAATCTTAACTTTCACTTTTACACCGATGAATCTTTTAAGGGTGCTGATCAATTGTTTGATTCTAAGCTGCAGCTCGAGGCTTGTATTAATGACATTTGCCGGTGGATGGTTTTCAGTGAATTGAAACTTAATCGAGACAAGACTGAATAATTGGTTATTCATTCCAGTTATCGTTCCTGTCCGTCGCTGTCCTGTCTCAGTGTTGGGGATGTTGATGTTTCTCCAGTGAAAGCCGCTTCCAATCTTGGCGTTGTCTTCGATGATACTATGTCTTTTAAATCACATATTTCTAATGTTTGCAAGTCTTCCTTTTATCATCTTAAGAATATTTCGAGAATTAGACAGTATTTGACCTGCAAAACCACTGAAATGGTTGTTCATGCTTTTGACACCTCTAAACTTGACTATTGTAATTCTCTACTTTATGGACTTCCTGAGTTCCTTATTGCTAAATTACAATCTGTTCAGAACTCTGCTGCACGTCTAGTTTTTGTAGGACTAAGAAGTTCGATCATATTACTCCGACTTTAATTGATCTGCATTGGCTGCCCATCAGGCATCGTATTGTTTTTAAGATTCTTCTTTTAGTTTATAAATCGCTTAATCGTAAGGCCCCATCGTATTTGTCTGATCTTTTAACTTATCGTAGGAGCTCTTATTCTTTGCGATCTGTTAGTAATGGCAACCTTGTAGAGCCATCTTCAAAATTGCAAACTTATGGAGATCCATCGTTTGCAGTATGTGCTCCTAGATTGTGGAACTCTTTGCCTCTTTCAATACATAGGAGTTCTTCTGTTGACATTTTTAAAAGCGTTTTGAAAACTTATCTTTTTTTAAATGTTTGTGAGTGAATGTTTGTAATTGTAGTTTGTTTATAATTTATTTTCATTTGTTGTAAAGCGCCACGGGAAATTTATTGGAGTTGTGCGCTATAGAAATACTCTTTAATATTATTATTATTATTATTATTATTATTATTACTTAACACAAATTCAATCGCTAATCTTGAAAACCCCTTTTCATCTCTTTTAAATGTATTTTCCTCTCTGATGTTTTGTGACTCCTGATAACACTTGATGTATCACTCATTTAGTGTGACCCAGTTATTGTCCAAAATAGAAAGTAAAGAAAAGCTTTATTTTGTAGTGAGGTCCACTTACCATTCAAACAGAATTTTTTTACTGTATGCATATATTTTTTCCCATCTGCTGACAATATGTCTGTTACTTTCTCATAATAAGTTAACAGATGCATTGTATTGGTGTTTGCGAATCAAGCATTCCATGCTTTGCTTACTAGCTCCTCCAAATTATTATGAAGTTGTTGTAATCATTGTTTGTTTGTTTTTTTTTTTTCTAATCTTAAATGAATTTTTACAGAGAAAATTTGCTGCTAATTTATGTTTAGGAGAAAGTCAAGCAATGAAAGAATGTTCATAGGCTAAACCTCATGTTAAAAAATACTGAATGACAGTTTGAAAATATAAATATGATATCTTAATAACAACCATGACAGAATATGATAAAAGAGGAGGAAACAATTCGAAAATAATAGTGAATCATAATTGCTCCTTCAATATCTTCAATGCATACAATATAAACAAACTTAGGGTACAAACAAAAATGATTTAAAAAGATTAGCTTGATCAGTATAGTAGAGTTGATGAAAAACCTAGCTGTCAAAGGTCGGCGCAATTTTTATCTTAAAATGAATGTTTACCTTTTCTTTTTAGAAGAGTACCAAAGATAATACCTTGCTTTTCAACCATCTGCATTTACGACAAGTGTCCCTTGAAATGATTTCAAAAATAATTTTCAAGCATTTCTAAAACTATTTTTGAAACATGTGCCCCTTAGTCAGCAGTATCCAATTATAACTTCTGATCATTGCTCCTCATAGTAAGACACTACATACCTTCATAGCCCCTTTCGTCTCTTCTGAAAACGTCATCATCCTCAGCACTGAATGGCCCTAGTTTTTTTGGAGAGCCTACTGTACGGGAACGCTTCTCAGTCTTACTACGCCGTGGGGGCCTGATAGGTGGAGGAGAAGCCTCCACTTTTGGCTGGTTGGATGTTTCTTTTTCAGGCTGAGAGGGGAAAGCTCTCTCAGTGGGTCTGAAATCACTGGAATCATTCCCATTGTCTTCTTGTTCCGATGAATCAGCTGACTGCATTTCAGAGACAGCAACATCTATAGCCCATGGACTCATGCAAGAGTCAGCGCTCATCAAACTAACGTTACCCGCAGAGAGTACAGAATCGAGTTGTCTTCGTGATCGCAGTGGTTTCCGTGGCCTTATCACCCCGCCAAATAGCATAAAATCGTCTCCCTCAGACGCATGGGGCGATTCCCCTTCAAGATCATCGCTGCTCACGACCTCGATTCCTTCCAAGTAGGATATCAGTTCATCGACAACTTCGATAATGACGTCGGGTGCTTCTCCGATCGCCTCTTTCTTACACCTGTCTTCCTCAGAGGTTAGGTCTTTCTTGTCCAAAGCATTGTTCTCCGAGAATCCCTGTCTTGTAAAGTCAACATGACTTCCACAATCGATAGGAGCCAAACAACTATCGTCCTCATCTGCCATATAAAACTGATTTGCCGCACAAATATCGTATGACTTCACATCGACTTCAGTAGAATGTGACAAAACTTCACTTTCGAGATTTTCGGAAGTTTTACTTTCGGCAAGATCAGATAAGTCCACATCATCGCCACTAGTCGTGCTGCCGTGAGAGTCGTGTCGCTTATGTTTTGGGTCTGACGGACGCGTTAAATAACTCTTTCCTTTCGATTTAGCTTTGTTGATCCCCTTCGCTAGAGGTGAGAACACACTGGCTAGAGCTCGATTTCTGTGACCAGCTGGTTTCTTTCGTTCAGGATAATTTAAATTTCGCGATTCGTCCCCCATTTCTAGTCCTTCGTCTTCTGAAGAACCCGTGGGGATTCTCTGATCATTTGTCCTTGTTAACCAGACATCGTATTCACTTTCCTTTTCTGTACTGTTATTGGTGGAAAATTTATTACCCTCTGCTATATTAATGCCTTCGTGTGACGAGCTTTTCTCTCCATCGAATTCATTATTTCCACTACTAAATAATTTACCAGAGTCGACCCCAGACATCCCCTGTATGTTTTTGTTGAAACATGACTCCTCGTCACTTCCGTCCACAGCGAGTTTTGACTCGTCACCAAGAGGAAATATCGCTTCAGCGTCTTTTCTAAAATCTTTGCACTCTTCATTTAAGGTAGAAGTATTAGTTGGACATTTCATTTCGTCTTCATGCGTTGATGACTTCTTAAAATCGCACGTGACCGATTTTTTTACGTCTTCTATGGCAACGGGAGGGAAGGCGATGTCCTGCGAACACGGCACAGGCTGATCCGTTTCGCACGGAAAGAACACGTTTAACACTCTTTCGATTTCTAAATCTCTTCCTTTTGTGATGTTAACCTTAAGGACCTCTTTTAGCCATTTAAGAATAAATCCTTCGCTTTTTATCACGCTAATAGCGTCATCGAGTCTTCGATTGCACAAATTGAACCGCTCTAAAATATGTTCGTCAGATGCGAAATCTCCACCACAATCACAGAATTGCAAAAATTCTGTGTCAGGAAGCTTGCCTTTAGGATGATATTCCCTCCAAGCAGTTAAGAAGGCTTCTCTGTAATCCATAGTTTCCTCAATCTAGCTCTGCTCTCATGGTTCAGTCTTCTGTGTGGAGTGTCCAGTCGTGATTTGTTTTCTCTCCGAGAGAACACGAGCTTAAACGAAGTCCGTCTCGATGATGCGTGACGCATGTTCGGCCTCTTCGGCAGCACGTCTTTCCGACTTTTCTGGCTGAAGCCAGCGGAAGTGAGCTGTAAGTGCGGTTGGTAAGTGACAAAGAAACGGAAGTCAAGTAACGTGACGCACACAAAACCTCGAACTCAAAACCAACCTTTCAGCTCATACTAGGGTTTGAGTCAAACACAGAAAAATTATTCCCCCCTCGAGAAAACCAGTTTAGGCTAAGGAAATCGTTGAAAGAGGATAAAAATTCACTTAGTCAGATCTACTTGTTGTGGAGAAAAAAATATTCCTCATGCCAAAAATATTCCTCATGAGGGCAAGCCTTCGGCAAAATTCCTTCTTCTGCTTTTTGGGCCCGAAAGCACGAAATTCTTAACATTTTACCCTAATAAAGTATCGCTGAAAAACCGCGTCCTAATTCAGATTGTACTCAACTGATCAAATTTAGGTCGAATACTCGGCAAAAACAAAGAAAAAAAAATTAAATACGCTTAAAACTTTTGACGGTATAAAAGAGGCTTGAGACATAACTATTAAAAAAGACCTTTGATCAACTCTTCCGCTGATTTTGCGAAAGTGCCATCTCTTATGCTTAAACGCACTGAAATGAAAATCAAACGCTTTGTTATGTTGATTTCCTGACATCAACGAATCGAAGGATCACGATCCTTTTTCCAAAACCAAAATTTTTGAAAGGGAGAAATAAGTGGCTTGAAGTTCCTTTTGCGATGCAGAACAAAATCTATTAATGTTCAAGTGTATTTGGCAGAAAAGCAATCTATTTTTTGAGTAACTCTACCTCCACTTGGTAGGTAAGCTAGGCACAAATTTTACTTAAACGTGATTCGTCAACCTAATATGGCGTCACTTGACATTTGTCAAGTGCGTTTTGGAAAGGTGATAATCATTGCCTAATCGCAAAAGAATCTGGTGAATGTTCACAAATAACACACTCCTCAAAAAGCTTAAATTTAAATGATTATAATAACGAACCCAGAATTGAAATGAATAGATGAGTATTGCTTCGTGTAAAACATTTAAACACTTTCCTTGCAATTTTTATCGATAACGCCTCCCCTACCCCTTCCGATCGCTTTTAAAATAATAATAATAATAATAATAAATAATGGCTAATGAGGGGGTCTGTCAAAGAGTTAAAGGAAAAATTATTCATCAGCTTAAAGAGAATTCGAGGCAGTTAAACGCAACAGTGACTCCGTTGATACCTGTTGCCAATTATAACAGTTCACTGAGCTTCGAGTTTCCGTAGCTTTAAACCATGCCTCAATTTAGAACGTAACTGAGGTTCCCTTACATTCAGGTTATTTTATGAGTATCTACTTTCAAGTCAGACATTTTTACTCGTTGTGCAGAAGACATGTACACAAGTATAAGTAGCGAATGTCTAATGTGCTCTGTTTACACAGCTTGATAGACTGGGATATTGCTCAGTTGGGGCGTTCACTAATTGTGTTTTCAAAATAATTTCCGTAGCGTTGCAACGAAACATCACAAAATTCTTAATAAGTTTGAAGAGGTGTTAAATTTGAACATTGGTGAAAAAAAAGAAAGGTTCCAAAAGATTGTTTAGATGCCTTAGATCGATTAAAATCATGATCCAAGGAAAATGATAATAATTTATGGCTTTGGCCAACTATTTTATAATCTTTGAACATAATCGCCCCCTTTGGACAAAGCGAATGCGGAGAAAAGAGATTGTTGTTTCAGAAAAAGGGGCAAAAAATACCCGGTCTTAGTAGCAATATGAAACTGCCGAAACCACTTTTACCAGCAGGACAGGAGACGAGAGTGTTCTTGGTAACCATGGTTATCGTATTTCAGCACAGATATCAGTCTGTCGTTGAACTTAGAGGCATGATAACATAGCAATACAAACGTGATAACCTATGGTAAGGACCTGTTTAAGATAAGAGGCATAGTGGCATAACTATATGGTGATTGGGTGCGACACAAAGGGATATCTGGATTTCAGGAAGGCTTTTCACTTTCAGAGTCAAAGAAAATAGAAAACACGCACCGTAAAAACGCAGTAACCACAACTGCTTTACAACACTACCGACATGACGTCATTATGAAACGTTCCTCAAGGTTGTAAACTACAACGCTTTGTTAATGAGGAGTAACGAGCAGTGTGCGTTTACTTCATGTCATGCCTAAGGCGGTCAGAGAAAAACATGCATGGGCGCGGCGTATTCACTGTGACGTCGTTGTTTATATCATGATTTTTTAACACACGAATTTGCCCATAGAAGGTAAAATGGTATACACAATCTCTTTCACAAATGGTAAACAGCGTACAGTTATGGATGCAAGCGGGAGGTTGCAAAGTGTAAGGTCTTTGCACTTGCTCACGTCAGCAGCGTACACCCATAGGTGGACACTGAATTGGTCAATCAGAGCGTATGCTTTGCTTTGGTTATTTTATAACTAATTTTCTCTCAGATGATAGTTCCAAGCCCGAAAGGAATAAAAGCCGCGAGCGCTTAAGAGTGGCGGTCGCTCTCATGTTCCAAGCTTTCTCGCTAACCCCCATCAAACAGTTCTGGACAAACTAACCAAGGCTGAATTCAGACGATGGAGGAGGTTGCTAAATTGAGTACACTCTTTTTCTTAAATATCCTTTCAGGCTGAGATTATCTAGAATTCTAAGAACATACTAAGAACTGACGTAGCCAGGCTGAGAGTCAGTTAAGAACGTAGGGTAAAGAAATCTAAAACTGTGGTCCGACGGGACAATTAACTCAAATAAATCTAATATATAGATTTAGCCAAGCCTAAAAGCAGAGCTCCCAAGTTCGTAATATTAATGGTAACATAAAAGATGTGCATTTGCCAAGACTCGCCTGAGACACCCCGCCCTTCGTTTTGATAGTCTCCCCTACCCTATCCGTGCAATCTGAAGGCACGTACGTACGCTCGGTCAGTCACGTGACAACCAAACGAAAAGAGGTCGACCATATTCCATGGGTATGGGGCTCTGTCCCACGCGCGCGAAGCACCGTTAAAAAATTAACAAAGCGGTTTCGTTGTTACACGATGCAACGAGGAACAACTCAGTTTGCAGTCGATCTTAGTCTGTACTGATAAGCACAAGTCAAGAACGTTTTCGTGCTCAAGTTGCGGAAAAAACAAAAAACAAAACAAAAAGACCAACTTTTAGACCCAAATGATTTGGAAAAAGGAGCATAATCAATAAACAATCCTTTTCACGCCAATAGGGCACACAGGGAAACAATGCACTAAAACAGATGAAATAAAATCTTTATTGCCTACTTTAATAATTCAAATTCATTGCCTTAAAATATTTACATGCAGCGAACAGCATCTTGACACTGTTAACTTCTGGTAAGGAATTTAACGAGAAAAGAGACAGTACCTTCGTACAAAGTGTACCCACTTCCAGAGGAAAAAAAAAGTTCAGTCCCCGCGACTAGGTATTTACAAATCAATGAACTGCTTTTGAGGATAACTACGTAGACAAGCTGCAGCAAAATGATATCGCTTACATTAACTTAAATACGCACGACTTTTCAGGCAGTAAATTGTTTAATAATAATTCTCTCTTCATTGAACTTAATATGCACTAAAAAGTAACAAAGAGAGATTATTCAAGGCCAAAAAGTATGACGACTTATTTGTAATTTGGCTTTCTTTTTCTTTTTTTTTAGAACCTTTGTATAGGGGAAAGTAATAAGATAACTTGTTCTCAGCAAATATAAGAAACTGGGGCCTGATAGTTCAAAATGCGTGACGTTGATCCAACAATTTTTATGACCTATTTGTATTTTTAAATAACACTCCATGTATGGGATATTTTCATTTGTTGTCTCATTCACTGGAATCGACTCAGAGGTTACCTTCAAAGGCTGGCCATACACTTATGGGGCCTGCAAAATGCACTAATCATCGGGAATGTTAACCTATCGAAAACTGTTTAGTCTACGAAATAACCGTGCTACTCTTATGTTCCAATGATCAAAAACGCGGTTCAAAAATTAATAAGAGGGAAAAATTCTTCTAGCTATTGCAGAGATTTACAAGTCATTTGCTGGGGCTATCAGGTGCTGTTGGGTTTGAACAGCAGCTATTTCCCTGTAACTAACTGAAAGAGTTTTCGACATTCAATACTGGATTAACGTTTGTCGTATTTTGAACTATTAGACCCGTTTGGGTGAAATATAGTTAGTTTTATCATATACTGTTCACTGATTAAACTTCTCTTTTGTTTTGCAAGCCTTGACTGCTTTTCAATTTACAGGAAATATTTATCCTGCAAAAGCCCTGATACAGACGACGAAAAAATTTCCGGACCTCATAGTAATTAATATTGCGAATAGAAAAAATTGCATAATTTTGAAATATAATGATAAATTTTCCATTTAGTGATCACTTCCTCGATTATTCCACATTTCAGTCAAATGCTGACGAACAGAAACTAGTCACTAAAAGTATTTTCTCCGAACATTTATCCAAGATTTCTGAGAAAAGGGTCTCTGTTATGCCTCACCATAAGGGATTTGTACACCTTAAGCACTTAACACCCTTCGTCAACCAAGAGACTTTAGGATGACAGGGTCTACAACAGGCAACGATCATTTGTCAAATGATGCAAGTTAACGGTGAACAATCAAAGGCTTACAAGAAAAAGGGAGAGAACAAACTGATATAGGCAAATATCAAAGAAACCTTTTGCTTCTGTACAAAAATAGACAACATATATCTGACGCATGTTGTGTGAGTTCTTTCTAAAAAACGCAATTATCACACTGAGTTGTGACTTGCAGAAAATTACTTCTATTATATTCGCTAAAACTTCATGGAATAAGCTCCGAAATACGGTGACTTTTTGGCAGGTCCAAAACGAACATTGTGGATCTTACCATAAACTGTTTCTCACAATGGTCACCTCTCTATCTGCCATGCTTAAGCACTTCGGCCCATATTGACTCCATATTTTAGCGAACGAAACGATAGGAATGGACAGCCAAATCCCAAAGACACAAGAACAGCAGAGATAATAAGACAATCTGCCACTTGCACCGTCCAAAAGAAACACTCATTAAAGTGAACTTTTTATAGACCGTGCTGCTCTCAATACACAACTCCTCGCCGACTTAAACTCCACTTTAACTCCACGTATCTTAAAGTCACAATAATAACGTTATACGCCCCCTTGACTTGTTAAAAAACACAGAAGCATTCGTAAGGAGGCCAAGTTACATCCCAGTCGTACACACGCGCGGATACCGCACAAAGACATGTACCATACGCGATTGTCTCATGGGCGAGATCCTGAGGAACCACGCTCAATATATTCCATAAAGAATTTGAATATGATAAGATTTCTCTTTCATGTCCGTCACCGTGACGGCAGTCTCCAGAAGTATCAATGAAGCTTTATACTTCATGTAATGCAAGAGACATACTATACTCCCTGCAGTTGGTTATACACGCATGGGGCCAGCGCTGACCTGTAATCTCTCGTCATTGGTCTTCTGTTGAACCACCGTGCCGTTGTTCTCTGTGCTCCTTGTGCTTGATGTACTGGAGTTGCTTACAGTACTGATACTGCTGGTACTCCTGTGTTTCAAAGAGAACGTGTTCGACCCACTGCTACTACTCATATTAGAGTTAGTGTCAAAATCTTCCAACTCCTTTACATGCTTGAGTTCAAGCTCTTCTTGCTTTTGCGCTCTAAAGTCCTGCAGGCGAGTTGTCTCTTGAAACATCTGAAAATTGAGAAACTGAGTTACTAGCGGCCTTAGAAAATTATAATTTCAATTCCAGCCATCTAAGTAACTTAATACTGAAAAGAAACACCACCCTTAAAGAACTTCGTTACTAGACAGACTTAAATTGGTTTGCGAAAACGCACGACAAGGGTATCTATCTTCACTGACAAAATACACTTTTAAGGACTTGAATCTCTGACATGATAAAAGCTACTCTCATTACAAGCTGGTATGGTGGATTCGTTGGATGAATATATTCGATGGATACACTACGCATAAGTAGGCGAGGTACCTTTTCTTCCAAAAGGGCCCTTCTAACCGAGACCTTGTCCTGTAAGTCCTTCTCTTCGCGCTCGTGCTGGGCCCTTAGTTGCATGGTCTGTTTACTCTGGTAGGCGCTTAATAACTCTTGTTCCTGTTGGAGCTTGACTCGTAGATTTTCCTGTTCGCGCACTTGGTTTTCGTCCAGCTTCAACTGTGTAGCGAAAGGAATCAAAATATCTTTGTTACCAGGGTGTATAGTGCTGAGATTCGAAGATTGAAAGGAAACTAGAAAAAAGTATTTCCAATGATTCCTCAACTGCATGTTTTAGGGCAGTTGTTAATTGCGTGTCAAGAGTTATGTTTGCCCTACTTCGCTCCAAAATTAATTAGGAAAACTCGCACCATCCTTTCAACTTCCCTGATGCAATACTAAAACCAATCGAACTTACTTGTTAGCTTACTTTTTCTTTGGAAGCTGATTGGTTCCTTGTGATGTCTTAGCTCGCTCTCATTGGCTGCTGTAATTCTTTGTTTTTGGTTTTACAAAACTCGGTTGAAATGCGTTTATCTACCGAGTTCTTTAAAGCGTCAGGGTTTAAGCCCAAATATAAATAAGTAGCTTCCTCAAAGTCACTGACTATTCGACAATTAAACTTACCGTTTGTCTCTGCAGCATTTCAGAAATGCTCTGATCGTACTGAAGTGAGAGATCTGCCATCTTTCTCATCTTCTCCTCGCGCAGTTGCTTAGTGAGTTCCTTGTGCTTTTCTCTCGGTGTTTTCTCCAATATCTGTTTCTGCAGAGCTTTGTACTGCAGCGTCTGTGTCTTGATCGCGTTTCTGTATTGCTTCTTGATGTGCATTTCGCGCGCCTGGAAGTAATCAAACTCTTCATTAGCTCGCACAACACTTGCACCTGACCGGTCGGGGTGTGGAACTGTTCACGACACATCTTTGTGAAAGCGCGCGTAAATTTTGGTTTTTGTTATCAAACATGGCTGACACAAACATCGGTAAAAAAAAATTTCCTGCCCCTAACAGGACAAATACCCCTCACCACATAAAATCAAAATGTAACATGCAGTAGTAGCGTTCAGCCTCTTCTTTGTGAAAGACAAGAGGATTCTTCACCTCGAGGCGCACCTGTAGCTAAAATCCTTCTTACCTTGAGAGTTTTGGGCTGCATTTTGAGTTCAAACAAATGTTTCTTTCTGAGTTCCATCTCGACCCGTTTATTGTACTCAACTTGACTGTTCCATTCTGTCTGGTGCTGGTTCTGCTGCTGATCTCGTCTCAGCCTGTGCACCGAGCTCAAGTGCCTGAACTCCATGTCCTGAGTACATTCATGATGTCTTATCAACATCGCGTGCGACATCTCCTTCTGCTCATTCAGCTTGTTCATCTCCTGTGAGGTTACATGCAAGTTACCATCAGCATCTAATCACGAGACTGTTAACCCCCAAACACCTAAGAGGAACTGGCAACTAATTTCCTCCTACAATATCACCCATGAATTACACCTTAAGATCACAAGAATACAACTCTTACCTCAGTGAGTAAAACTTTTTCCAAGTTCTGCCGCTGCAGGAGTTGTTCTCGGCGAAACTTTCTCAGTTCAGCGTTGCGCACAATGTCGTGTTCGTGCATTTTTTCTCGCTGCGCTCTCTCTTGCGATTCGTGTAATGTATTCTTTCTGCCTTGATAAGACATACGATTACTTTGATCCTACAAAACCAAGATAGAACGGACCCTTTGATCGGTTAAGCGAAATAACCCAGCTTCTATTAGTCAAATGATTAAATGAATTGAAAGTGACAGGCTAACATCCTAAAGAGTAGCATCAGCGCCAGGATAAGACACTCACCTTTTTCATCTGGTTCTTGGCCGCTTTGTACGCCGCCTTCTGATCGGAGAGAAATATTTTCATGTCGTTGTCGTGCTTATCTTTGATGTGTTTCAGCAATCTCCTCTCGTCTGCTGACATTTGTTTCAGCTTTTGCTCCATTTCAGTCTTGTGTCTGGTCCGTAGTTTTTCCAGGTCTCTTTCAAACTGGTGTACCTAGTAAACAAGAACACACAAGTTCATGCCATACACTTTAGATGACAAAATAAAAACAAAACAAAACTTTGAACTGAACTTAACGTGCTGCTCAGTGATGGCTTCTCATTAACCTTTCCGTTTCACCTCTCTAGTCTCAAAGTAAGTAATTTCCTCGAGTGTCAGTTTGGACAATGTTCTCGCCTATTAAGACAACATTTCCGAGTCGAGGAGTTTCGTGTCTTTCGCTGCCTGCATACTCACCACAATTATCACTGAGGATGCAACAACGTCTTTGTTGTCTTTGAAAAGCCTCCTTGGGGAAAGTCAATAAAGTATGTATGTATATAACGTCAAACAATTTATAACCACCGTCATATTTCCACCATATAACCACCATATAACCACCGTTATATTTCCGTCTCGGTTTTTATGGCATGACAGAGATAACGAGCGTGAATCATGAGATACATGTGAGTAATTTTAAATTGATCACTGAGAGTAAATCGTGCTTAAATTGGTTTTTCTCCACTACAATCTGTTATTGCTATAGAAAACTGTTCCCTTCTGCTAGCTAGACAACCGAACGAGTCTTTTTTCGCGCCCTCAGTGCAGTGTATGAGGAGCAGTACCTGCTGATCATATTCCTTATCAAGATTCCTGCGATGATCATTCATTTCCATCTGTAGCCTGCTCTCCAGCACCAGTACTTCCCTCTGATGAGTCTGCCTCAGCTTCTTGTAGACTTCGAGCTGATCTCTCATCTCGTCACCCTGCCTGTTGTGTTCCTGGTGCTGTCGGGCGATCAGGTTTTGCGGGCGGATGGTGGCAAACCTGTCATCGTCTTCACGATGTTGTTGCAACTGAAAGGAGAAGAAAAAAATATTTTTAAGTGACCAAGACACTGAATATTCTGATTTATTATTTGGAACGGTGATTTGCAGTTACTCGCCCTTAGAGAAGTGAATTATATGTATACTACATCAAACCTAAAATATCATACGAAAAATATCTAAATATCTCCGAGAGGAGATGAGTATCACATTGCTAAAACCGAATCATGTCCTCACGTAGCTTGACTCTTGGCTGGAACTTGATTTATATAACCTTATAAAATTTCTTTGTTAATAATGAAACAATTTTGCTGTAAAAACAAAATTTTACAAAAAATATTTTTGAGAAAACGTTAACCATATTAATGTTACTTTTGCCATAAGAAAAAGTAATACTCCCTTCCGCAAAAGCTAATACGAGGATACCACTTACACTGATAGACGAAGCAGCAAACGAAGAAATTCCAGCAGCAGCTGTATCATTATCTTGCTCGGCTCCTTGTATGCTGTCCGTGCTGCTAGCAACACTAGCTGTGCTGCTCACACTCGCTTTCTTGTTCTTTTCCATCTCGGCACTCTAAAAAGGAAGTACAGTTACGCATATAGGTGATTATTCTCCAATAGAAGTTATAAATTGTTCACGAGAGAAACGCTACACAGAAGGTAAAGAGGAAAGAGAGGAGATATAATCTGGATATGAAGAATATTCTCCAAGAGAGTTTAATCACGCCTTACTCTGACAATCGTACAAACACATAAGAAGCTTATCCGTCTAAGCCTCTAGCCTTTTAACTGAACACGAATAGAACACTTAAAAGGTATTACAATTTGATAAGTTTTACAGGTAAATTTCATAGTGTCACATTTAAGTAACCACATTATTTAGGTCAAACATGTTCAACTGAACAGAACATGAAAAGGAAACAGAATGTGGAGTGAACTGTCACTGATGAAGCAATGTACCACACACAAGACACAAGTACACTAAATGTAGAAAGTTTTTAAGCTGTCTGAATGGTCGTCAATTCTACGTTAACAAGTATTTTGGTTCAGACAGGTATATCATATGCTTTAAGTGTACAACGTAATCATTTTCTAGGAGACTTGTCAGAGCGGAGCAGTAGTACACCTGTAACGTGTAGCTTTTGTGGTAACATATCTGTTGTAAGGAAGTTGACAAAGAATTCTTCCTGAATCGTTTTAGGACAACGAAAGAGACCTTTCTTGGGCACAAAAGAGTCATTTTCAAATATCTGACTAAGATAAAAGCCCTGGTTAACTGAATGTTTGACAAGCGCAACTTTGATAAAAGCATTCTTTTCTTTTTTTTCGCTAAAACAATGAGACGTTGTCACAATGATAACAATGGTGGTGAGACGAAAAGGATGTAATGACAGAATTGGACGAAGGTTTGGATGTGCAAACAACAGACGTGCAGACAGAACCTGTGAAGATCTGAAGTGAAGAAATGACGATGACGAAGATAAGGAGTCTTCAGAGAAAGCCAAGCTGTCCTCAGATGCCGAAGGACCGTCCCCTTCCTCCAACACCCCATCAAAGTTTACATGGCATGCGGACTTGGGGACAATGAATAGAGACTGAGGTATTGATAATAGGAGAGACACAGAGAGGATCTTTAGTAGGATGAAGATCCTAACAAACAATTACTGTTAACTGAGAGGGAGAAATATTCTCAATTTGAGTTAATTGAACACTCTGCCAGCATCATATGCCCAGTTCTGAACATAAACCCTAAAAACTACAGCATCATCTTGCTCTCTTTTTTATCTTATACAAAAAGCAATTTAATTAAAAGGCACCAATTCTAACTTTATCCTGCCCTTATCTAGGCTCAATAACAAACTCTTGCTTCTTTTTTCAACCATGTTTCTTATCAGTTCATGTTGTGAAATTGTATTGTTCATTTTTGAAAAATAAATTGCTTACTTATGTGTCATCTGTGTCTGCTACCTTATTCTTATTCACCTTTTATTCGTAGTACCTTTGAGATTTAAGAAGAAAAAGCTACACAAAAAGCTAATCAATGCAAGGGTTGGTTTTGTACCTTACTGCTCCATGAATATGTCTTCAGACCAAAAAATAGAAAAGAACTTTACTTATTGTTAGGCCTGAAAGTTCAATTCACATTTTTGGTCCACAACTACTGTCCATCATTGATAAATGCCATGATTACAAGTTGTTGTAAGCTCTAACTTTCCAATGTAGACTTTCTACCAATTTTACATGTAACTACAAGCAGACATTGAAAGAAACAAATAAGCAAATTTAACTTACTGCCTCTGACTTGTCATCATCATCTTCTGTCTCAGCAATAGAACTGTCCCCTTCTTCACTTAACTCTCCAGCAGGATCCCCCATGATCATCTTCTTCATTTTGCGGTAATTCATGTTGTCCAGGGCCCTAACAGCCTGTTTTGTTCTCTCAATCAGCTCAAGAAGGATGCACGCAGGTCTTGGTTGTGATACAAATGGATGCTAGATAAAAACACAAAATCACAATTTGTGATACGCACTGAACATGGCAGAACAACCTAAAAGTAGCTTTTATTGACCTGCCCTAATCTAGCCTTAACATTTTCCTTGTCAAAATGCCAAATTTGTGAGACATCTCACTAACTGAAAGGTTTCATTCTGGAGGCAACTCTGCCCTGGGACCTATGAATTTAAGCAAATTTAACCTTGTTTATTTCTGTAAAATTTGCAAATTGACCAGTAAAAGATGAGGAGCTGTTAGACTGAGTGTCTTACAGCCAAACCAAAATAAAAAATAACACCCACCAATCAGACTAAAGATGAGTTTCAGAACAGGCCACAGACAGGTCGGATAAATACATATTAAATTTCCGAAGCACAAAGAAATGTAGGTTCTGTGTCATAAGGTGGCTTGAGTTTACTAAACCAATCAGTGTGAGAAGTGAAACAAAACCAAAGACTAATTTCAATTCTCCATTAAAAATTGCTCTAATAAGAAATCCTTCCTACAAACTTTGCTTGGCAGTAAAGTTGCATTCACTTTCAAACAAAATCATCTTTCACATGTTCCAAGCTGAAAGTGCACTTAAGAAAAAGATTTCATTACAGAGAAGTTACTTACTTGTAGAAGATCCTCAGCTGTAGGTCTTTCAGCTGGTTGCTTCTTCAAGCATAGCTGAACAAATTCAACAAAGCCTGCACTCCTAAAATTAAAAGATGAAAACAAAATTAGACCTGAAATCTGAAATTAGTACTCTGGAGGACAAAATGTACATGTTTTGCTTCAACTGTATAAGCTCAGACAAAAGGACAAATTTTTCACTCTTTCCTCTCCATTATTAGGATGTTTAGTATCATGTTCAATTGCAGTGGCAACACCTACATGTATGTCTTCCACTAGTGTATTCCCAAAGACTCTGAGCAAACTACAATAACACAGTATTCATCAACTTACCAGTTCTCTGGAGTAGAGAGCATTGGTGGATCATTTTGAGCAATGTGATAGAGGGCACTCATGGCATTCATGTTGAAAAGAGGTGGCTTTCTCTCAGCTAAAAAAATTTTCAAGGCACATTTATCTAAATATCTGTTGTTTGAAGCATTAAAAGTACATGATATCAACATCAGCAAACATCACATCATTGTAATATTGAGTTTTGAAGTGACTTCAGCAGTGTGACCCCACACTGTAATTCTGTTAGAGATGTGCTCTGCTTGGATAAAGGTTTTCCAATTTACCATTTAATACTCTGTAAACCTTGTCGACAAACCAAGAACATACCTAGTTCAACACACGTGATTCCTAATGACCACACATCCACCTGATGGAGGAAACCCAGCATTAGCAAAAACAGTCCTGCACATGTGGTTTGGAAACCACAATCAATGTATAAATTAGTAAAAAGTATGTATGCAATAAACATAATACCAAATAACACTTAAAATAACCCATTCTTTTGTGAAAACAAAAAAAAAATCATTGTAATCATTCCTGATCTTAGCAGCACACAGTACACAATCTAGAGGACATGAACAGCTGAGCTTCATACAAGTTCCCAGTTTTTCATTGGTGAAGTTTCCAGGTAATATAAGGTTGAAATTATCCTGAGGAAAAGAGTGACATAATGAATTTGACCTCCTTTGATCTCCACGAGTCATCAGTAAATTAGTTTCCCTGAATATAATAATTTTGTTTTGTCTAGTAGTTCATTATGGAGATTGGCAAAATAATCCCTTGGTGGCACTGGAAATTCTCAAAACTTAGCCAGCAAAGAAATGTATGTACCTTTCCATCATACTGTCCTTCATCCATGGCTAAGATAACTTCAGGAGCCATCCTAGCAAAGATGAACTACATTTAAAATGTGTCTTTTCCACATAGTGCAGGCTGAAACATTTTTATCTTAAAGATAGATTATAATTATTGTACATGTATTCAGGAAAAAAGAGAAGGAGCAGAGACCAATCTGGAAAAGACAGATACAGAGAGCCATACAAACACTTCTCAAGCGGGAAAATCTCATGACAGGCCTTGTTGGTAATACTGTATGCTGTAAGACAGAGGCCATATGAGGCCATATGACAAGCTTGCTTTAATTCCTTACCAATATGGTGTGCCCACAAAAGAATTTGCTGGAGCTGCCAGAGCTGCTGAGCCAAAATCAGCTGAAGAAAACAGAAAAATAATTGACTTATTTGATATTAACAACAAATACATGTGATGGTAACATCAATGTAGAGACAAATTTTTACAAAGGAAAAAAATATGGTTAGACCTACCCAACTTGACTGTTCCATCTTCAGTCAAAAGAACGTTTCCCGCTTTAATGTAAGCATACAAGACAAAATGTCAACTCTGCCTAAATTTGAATCATATGGACCTTAACCCTGTTTTCTAAGCATTAAGTGATTTTATTGAAACCCCTTCACCAATTATAACTTCATTTAGCAAACTATGAAAATCATTCAGTCTTAAAAGTATTGATGATGGGTATCTGGGTCTCTTTAATGTGTTTGTTTAAGTGGGACTCTTAACATGCAAGTCCCAATAGCATAATAATTGATACAAAGCTTTGTATCTTGCACGTCTCTGATTTATTCTTTATATCAATTGCAAAATAAAAATAATTTCTCATTTACCTTTCACATCCCTGTGAATTCTCCCATTTCTGTGCAGATATCTAAGACCCTAAAGCAAACAACCAAAACTTCATGATGTTCGAGAATCATAGAAGGCTTAAAAAAATATGACATGGAAGATTAATGATATAGATATACAAGACATTGAACAAATATCTGGGCAATTTTAATGATACCAGTCTGTTGATATAACACCCTTACCTGTAAAGCATCTTGGCATATTGCAGCAATCTCTACCTCTCTAAGTGGTTTCTTGTGAACTGTATCAATAAAGAACATTCAAATTGAACTAGTTTATAATATTCCCAGCTAAACTGAAATAAACAAAAGAGATGTTTGTAAGGTGAATTGTACATACAGTGTAACAAAAATTTGCAAGACTCAAATCTCTGTATGTTATAAATCAGTCATTAAAAAAACCTCCAACATACCTTCTAAAATATCTGAAGTTGAACCAACACAATACTCCATGACAAGCTAGGAGACAAGAAAGGAACACAATTGACATCTAAATATATTTTTACAGACACTAATACAGATTAATTGCAATCGAAGACAAGAGAGAAGGTGTGATTGTAGTTCAAACTTATCTATTCAAGGCAAGATTTACAGTCAAAATACCCTGTGTGCCCTGTTTATGCTTGAAGAATGACACATACCAACGAAAATCATATTGGACGATTTGTTTCAGAGTTTCATATTAAAATAAATATTACAATCACCTGAATTTGGCCTCACCGTGACCAATGTTTAATAACCTACCCATGCTGTATGCTCTTTCAAATGACATCCCTTGTAGCTAATGGTGTTCTTGTGGTTACAGAGCTTTAGAAATTTTACTTCTTTCACAATGTCTTGCCATTTCTACAATATGCAAAAGAGATTACAGCTGCATTACAAATTTCCCTTTCAATGTAAAATAAAGGGTAGTCTTGCTAGTTTTGGAAAACTGCCAGTATGCACAACTGCATGCCTTTGAAAACGCCATCTGATTGCAATGGAGCATTTTCCAAAAGATGTAAGATTTTCAAAGTTAAAGGATTCTCATTCTTTACTATTATGATAGGGAGAAAGTCTCCAGGGGCATATGTGTAAATGATAATGTAATAAAATTGTGCTTGTAAATTATAAGATCTTGTCCCTCCCTCCCTGAAAAGGGAATACTTACTTGTATGTGTATGTTTTTGCTTACCTCACTGGATTGTTTGCCGCTATAGGACATCTTCTTGATTGCCACCACCTCATTAGTTTTAACATTTTTGGCCTGAGAACAACAAGTTTCAAATATTAAATTTAATTAATTGATGGTGGTTTCACAACCAAAGGTACCTTACTTATGAAATTTTGGAAAGCAGTTAATTTTAAAAAAACTCAATCTTTTTGCATTTTTAAAGCATCCTGAAATACAGTTACCAAACATTGAAAGCTGAGGATGCCTGGGGTTAGCTGATCATCTCATTCACTTTAACTGATACCCGATTCTCTTTTGTTTGTTACACGTATGGATCAAGGGTCAATAAAGATAAATGTAACACTCTTCAGCTGAGTAGTTTGAAAATTCTCATCACCTGTTTGCTAGGTAATGAACCAAAATTGTGCAAAAGTTGTTTATCAATACAGAATCTTGAACTGTGAAAGACTTACATAGTACACAGCACCAAAGCTGCCATGTCCAATTTCCCTCAGATCAATAAAGAGTTTCTCTGGGTCTTGCTCATCAAACAAGCCCGAATATTCTGAATTCCTAAAGAATCCTCCCTTTCCATGCCCTGCCAGGGGCATAGCCGCATCAGGATCCCTCTGTCCACAATGTAACAAAGAATTCTTGTCTAAAGCCTAAACAGAGAGATCAAGGTACCAAAGTTATGTAAACCTAATCATAAATCTACCATTATAACTTCTACATATTAATGATCTTTGTAATAGATCTTAGCAAGGGGCTCTGGGGACTGTAGATTTTTGTGGCATTCAATTCCCAGAGTCTCACAGTGATGTCTTTTGTTTATAGCCAAATATTAGAAAACAAAAATTCAGCCATTGGTGTAGAAACTGTACAGAATGAACACTGCCAAACTGTCTATGGTGCAACAATAAACCACAACTTGCTTTAAAGGGGGTGCATTCCTAAAGAAGCTGTGGTGCTGTACTGATGGGTGGTATTTGAAAATAATTTGGTTTAATCAACTGAGTTGATACTATAAATTGGCCACTGTTCAGAGTACTGATGTTACGCTGACATTTTGATCATTTGCCCTTCATCAGAGCCAAATGTCAGCCTCAGAAACTTGTCACAGCAGCCAATTTATAATATCAACCTAGTTAATGAAACCAAATTAACAAACAACTTGCTTTAGCTTGTTACCAACTTATTCATAACAAATATGAATCCATTGTATGCTACTAACACTAAAAAGCCAAGTGAGGGATGGCCTCAACCTTGAGCTCCACAATTCCAGCCAAATTTCCAACTATAAGTCTATGGTTGTACACAACTGTTAAAAATTGGCTGTAAACCTAAGATCACATTATGTTAGATAGCAATCCAAACCACTCTTTCAGCAAATAAAATTGTTCTTAGAAAGCTGCATCTTTTCCCAAACTGTTTACAAAATCCTTTAATTTGCAGTTGTCAGGTCCAAAAATTTCAAACTAGTGAATGCATTCTACAGATAATGTTTTCCCTTGTAAGTGTTTCTAAGAAAGTTTAAATAGCAAGAATATGTAAGTTTTTCCCTTAAAAGTCTCTTTATTCTAGGATGGGGTTTATCCAAAGATTTCATAAGTTAAAACTCATCAAGTAATTTAAAGCACTTTCCAGAATGTACGGCATGACTCAGAAGTGGCAATCATTTAAGAATCAAGTTGTAAATAATGAAGAAATTCCACTAAAAAGTTTTCCTTAATAAATTCTCTTCAAATAAAAAGTTAACTGATACTGGGATACAAGGAAAATCTAGCACTTTAAATGTTGTTTTGTTTGAAATGGAATAGAACTCTAACTGTTCACCTCTGGAAAATAGTGTTAGTTTGAATTAGTAAGTAATGAGAACATCTTTCTAAATCTCCAGCACTTGATATTGCCTATTCCTAGCCTGCGAAGCAAGCCCAGGGGAAGACGAGGGGGGATTGGGGAGAGTGGAATGTGCGGAGGGGAGGGAGGGCTTGCCACAGACCCCCACTAACCAACGAAATTTCCGATTTCATATGGATGAAAACTTCCCATTGGCTGAGAGCAACACGTTGTCAATCAACCCTCGAACTAAACAGTCTTTGTGGCGACTACCTTTTAGAAAATGGCGGACGACCGTGATTTCGAGAAGTTCTGCCCTCAAGAATCGATGTCGAAGTAGAATATTTGTAGCAGCCATCCACTTGTTCAAGCTCAGGGCCTTCATAAGAATGGCGTCTTCATTCTCAAACCAGTTGCCCTTAACCACAACATTGCAAAGCCGATGGACGTTGGATCCAAATCATCAATGTTTAAATTTGTATCCATCGCTGAAGTTGAGGGTTGTCCTTTTGTCGGCAAATCAAACAATGCTTCCCTGCTAGACGTAGGTTTTGCATGTGCCGGGGAGCGGACACACAAGCTCTTTCTACTAGACTTTTTCCTGTTGGTGTTGAGAACTTTCACTTCGACGAAAAATCACGGGAATCCGGACATTGAGAAGCAGCCTTATTCAACAATTCATAAAACTGGAAAAAACTGTTCACTTTTCTTGCACCAGGAAGGCATATAATTTGAGATATGTGCGACTTATTTTCGAAGTAAAACTGACCGTTCGAAGGCGATCGGCGAAGACACACTGAAATTCTTCCCTTTGACTCTGATTAAAAATGTTTACAAAACTCTTGAAGCCACTTCCAAATTTAATTCTTAAATCTACTCCACAAAACCAGCAAACTACGTCTTCTGGATTAACTTTTGGTTTTCTCCCTCTCTTGGATTTTGATACCAGATTCTCCTCGTTGTCTGACATTTCTCACTCCTGTGGAGCAAGTTTTAGTTGTTGTTTTGACAGTTTGCATGGTTCACTGAGCTCTTACTAATGGCACTTTCTGATTGGTTAATTTTAAGAGGCACTGATTGACATATGCAAGACGATATGAATATGAAAATAGGGGGCTTTTCGTTAGTTAGTGGGGGTCTGTGGTAAGCCCTCCCTCTCCCCTCCACACTTTCCGCTCCCCCCAATCCCCCCTCCTTCCCCCCAGGGCTTGCTTCTCAGGCTACCTATTGCTTATAGCATCACTGGAGTACAACTATATATTACAAGTTTAAGAACTGCTAAGGGCATCAACACTGTGTACTTGTATCCTGAGTTGGAGAAATTTTCCTCAGGCAGCACCACTACCCTGTTTTATTGAGAACCAAGTTCTCCTAAGCATGCACAGGGAATGTCTTGATCTTTATGAAACTATTAATTTCTACAAAAAAATTTAAAGTTACTAAGGTTACCTATAGGACTGCAAACAATGGACACATTAAAAATTAAATATTGGCAAACCACCTTTGAATTTCTAAAATCCACAAACAATAACAAGAGGGTATACACCAAAGGTTACAAAATATTTCATTTCAGAATTCATTTGACTAATACCATAAAATGATAATTTTAATATCCTTTACCTTTAGGGAAACCATGCAAGAATAAAAATGAGAATAAATCGAAAAATGTAGATAATCTACCTGACAAACAGAACATACTCAGAAATATGTTGTCAAGGAATAGTTAAGTTAAAAAAAAAAAACTTAATAATTATGTCAACCTCTCAAAGAAAAAAAAAATTTTTTTTTTAAACTTTTAAGTCAGTCCTTAAGACTAACCAGACCAAATCCAAATCTTAAGAAGTGTAACTAAAGGAGTAAATTTAACGCGGAAAGCAAACTCAACTTTAACCTTTATGGTTAACTCACTGGGAGTCTAACTGTAGCTGTGGTCAAATAGTATGTGATATCAAGTTTCTTAACTCATACAAAAAATTATTGACTGAAAAAATGGCTTCTTGCTTGATGAGAAATAATTACTGCTACATACAGTCCAAACTTAGCAGATTAAAGGCTTTTCATGACTCCTTCATCTACTAATTTAATATTTACTTGATTCCATTAAAAATGTACCCTTCATGTTGGGGAATAGCTCAAATCTAACATGACCTTTATTTCAAATATTGAGGTTGCTAGGAAATTATTTTGTCATTGACACTAGAATCACTGACTAAAATTCACAACTTAAGTGTTAAAGTTTGACATGATCGTTCTTCAAAGGTAATGATATTCAAAACATCACGTTTCTTGGGACAGTCAATCCTGAACAATAGCGACACAACGAGGATTATGCAAGAATTGATCATATTAAGAAAGGATTCTGTGTTATTTCACATCCCTACTAGTATTTGATTGCAATCGTATTGCCCACTAAACAACACACTTGGTAGCAACGTTGTATTAAAGGTGACATCATTTCAATGTTTAACACGTACACAGAATGCAATGCGCTTAATTATACTCGAAAACAATCTTTATGAATACCTAGCAGACAATAACAAAACCAAAACTAAAGCGCGTACAAACTTCACAAAGAAACTAAAACTTCGAACGCCGATCGAGAGGCACTTAGAGTTGAAGAATGAGATATAAATTTCGAAACCATCAATGTATACTAATGTTCCGATATTAATCGCAAGAGCGACCAGGTACAATCTAAGATGATGCATGGGTGCTGGATCACGGTACAATATGTTGCGTTATGAAAACTATTCAACACACAGCAATTTCCTTATCGAAAAAAAATAAAGAAATACTTACACACGGCATAGAGGATAAAAGTACCGAAAGGTTTGGATGATACTCCTTTTGTCTTCTTTTACCGGAAACTATTTTATCTAAATCGGAGCAATTTTTCGAATCGATCTCTCGTGTCGAGCCAAATTGTGGTGTTACAAATGAGAACGAGTTTATGAGCTCTTCATAACTTTCTCCGTTTCTGATAGTTATTTACGTTTGAGAGACGAAAGAGGAAGAACAATGACGATAAAACATCTTCAACCAAGGTCAGTGTCATTGCCTATAAAGGTAACGGAGAATAAAACCACTTTGTGGTACACATTCCGGACATAAAAAATCGCATACACCTCACAATCTTACGATTCAACACTCACGAGCTGCCACGAGACTATCATAAGACACCGGTAATTTTCTTTCAATCTTTCCGTAATCGATGGATCAAGCGACAATCCGTCTGGAGAATTCCCTAAATTGAACATGCAGAAACAAACCATTGAATTGTATCGATCGTAGCGACGTATAAAGAACCTCAGGGGTGCGCCCGAACATGGCCACTCATTTCCTTGCGAATACAAAAGCAAACCTAAACAAACGGCGTCCGCCGACTGGATAAAATTTTTCTACATCATAGATCAGGGCAAAATTCTTCTAAAAAGCTACGTGACTACAATCAAGGCGGTAAAAAAGAAAATATGGTCTAGGATTATCAGGTCCAATCGCCTTGATCATCACGTAAATGCATGCCTGTCCGATAGGTTCGCTTTCTTTTGCAATTCTGTTCTCAACACCGAAAACAGAGGTAGCCACGGCATCAGTGTTTGTCGAGTAATGATACTGTTTTAAAGTCGAAGGGATGAGTCGCCATCCTTTTATAAAATCTAAATCGAAGAAAGAGTCGTCAGTAACAAGGTTCTTCAGCGAGCTATTGCATGTGATCGGACGTTACAGCACCATATTACAGCCGAAACTATTGTCCGACGGATGTACAGCACGCGAAACGAAAATTGTTTGCGTTTCGCGCTAGGATATCACGATTATACCGCTCTGAAATAGAGAACAGTAATCGTAGTTCTTAACTTTACCTCTTACTCTTGATATCCTTTGAAGAATCTTCATGAAACACAACAAAAACTCGTGAAATGCTAATCACTCCCAAACATCTCCCAACAACATGGCGAATTTTCTCACTCGTACGCTTGCGCATGACGTGTGTTGATCAACATTCCCGATACCACCCTTATTGATCCCAAATTTAGCTTACGGGGGTGTGGGTGGACCGGAGGACACGGTTGAAATAATAATAATAATAAAGAGCTGTTCCTAACGTTTAGATTACATTCTCTTAGAAAATGATAATCTAAAAACTTGGAGAAAATAGCAAATCTAGAATATATTTATCACTTATATAAAGGTAGATAAATTTAAGGCATACAACTTTCTAGTTGTACAAAATAAAAAAAATGTTAAATTTGTATTCATGCTTTATGCTGTCCTCTACGGTAAATTGTAAGGAGAGTACAGCTGAGTAATTGATTTAGAAGCTTTTTATTTAAATTTGAGAGTATTGAGCAGCCTAATGCCACCATTCTATTCCTCATTTGCATATTTTTAACCTCAACCCCTCAAAATCTGCTCTGGACCATACAATAACAATGCTCAAGTACATTTTTCACAAGGAACTTACTTAGGTCTCCATTTAAAAACCACTATGTTTTCACAGAAGCAGTTAATGGGGGATGTTGGGATGCTGGGATACTATTGACCCCCTCTTCATCGCGAAAAAGTGCGAATTCAATGGGACCAAACAACCTGGCCAGCCCTGAAACGTTACCTTCTGTGCTTCTTACCTCCAATATAAAGTGAACGGCTTGCAACTAGCAGGCTTTTGTCTGCAAGAGAGTTGTATAACAGCATTGTAGGCCCTTCCAAGCCCCCCTCCCCCTAAATCCTTTCCCAAAAAGGTCTGTGGTTGGACCACTTAGAACCCCTCCCTGCCATACCAGACTCGACCTTCAAATCCCAAGAGCTCATTTTTTTTAATTAAGTTGACTACAAGCAGTCCCTCCTTTTTGGTGGAGTCAGTGTTCTACCAACCTCTCTATGTTTCCTTATTTGATAAGATTACATAAGAGACTTCGGTGTACTGTGAAAATGACTTCTTCTAGTTGAACAGTTTTAATAATCAGATCACCTGTTGCTGAATCATGCTTGGATATTGTGAGGAATAACATATTTATCTTGGCTTTTGGATCTTAATATCTCCAGTAATTTGACCTGGAATACCCATATTCATGAAATTGTTAAAAAAGCCTTTAAGAGGTTATATTTCTTGATTCAACTTAAGAAAGCCAAGGTTTCTCGTACTGATCTAGGGCTCTTTTATTCTAGTTGTATTAGATCAATCATGGACTATGCAGTACCGTTCTTTCACTATAGTTTGCCTAAATATTTAAAGCGAGAATTAGAACACGTACAAAAGAGAGCAATGTCCATTACCTGTCCTGGTCATAGCTATCATGAAGCCCTGGATATTATGAAATTTAGAGAATTAGCCATCCATCACGACGAAATATGTGAGTCACTTTTCAACAAAATTGTAAATGACAACAATCACTGTCTTCAAAAGTTAATACCAGCAGCACATGAAACTACCTACTTGTTAAGGCATGCGCGACCTTTTAATGTACAACGCTTCAAAACCAGTCGTTTTAAGAATAGTTTTATTATTTTCTCATGTCTTACAGCGAACTCATTTTAGCTTTCCTTTTCTTAGCCAATTGAATGCTTTTTAATAACTAAGTAGTTAAATATCTAAATTAGTTTAATTTTGCTATCTGTATTATGTGAGTAAATACACAATTCAGTTTTTTAATTGCTATGTATTTATGAATATATTAGTAAACTTCAAAACTTCAAACAAACTATCACTGCTCAATACTTAATACCATTAAAAATTTGTTAACACATAGTAATGCTGCAATGAGCGTCTTTTAACAAAATTAATTATATATCATTAGCTTACTGATTTTATTTGATTTCTACCATCTTCTTGTGTCTGAAATTTTGATCCTCCTTGGAAAGAGGGAGGAGTGTGGGTTCATTTCCCAAATGGCAGCAGGATTTTGCAAGAAATTCCTCAAAAATTTGAAAAGTAATATAAGGTTTACTGATTCAAGTATAGCCATGGGACACATTTATTATAAAGTTCTCTTCAGATCCTGAATAATAAATAATCATTACATTCACAGACAAACATACATTTTTTCATTCATTCCCACATGAAAATGTACCAGCAAATGTTCCTCAAATACACCAGACCTGCTTCAAGATTTTCATCTTTTTCTCATATTAATTTCTTGAACATGTTGACAATTTCTTTCTGTAATTTTCTAGCTTTTCATTAGCTGAGAATGTCTAATTATTCCTGTCAAGAGTGCTTATTAACCCTTTACACCCTGAAAGTGACCAACACCTAATTTCTCCTTACAGAAATACTGCTGAATTATTCATTAAGATCATGAGAATAAAGGAAATGATCACCAATCTAAGCAGTTTTGATTGTCAAACAAATTCTCCTTGTCAGCACCAAAGGAAATGTAAAGAGATAAGTACTGAGAATATGGGTACTGATGTTAGTGTTTTGCAAAAATTTCTCTCACACAGTACAAGTCTAAAATAAATATACAACTGCCTAGAGGCTCAACGGGTTGTCAGCATTCTAAGCTGTTTCTTCTTCATACGTTTTATTTTTGCTGTATTTTTAATCTGAAAAACAAATCAAAACAAAGACAAAATGTCAGTTATTGTTCATTTCAGTAAAGTACACAACTTCATGGAGAGTGATTGAAGTATGTGGCAGTTTTCTGTGTATCAAAGTAGTATGATTTCCACTTTAAAATTAAGTTCTACAGAACTGATAGGGCTAACAATCACCCATACTGCTACAGGTGACTTTGGTTTTCAGAGCATTAAGCATCAAGGAGTATAGCTATTCTCCCCTTCCCCCTCTGGATCCCACTCCATTGCACAGAGCCCCCTGCATTTTGTCTGGTTTTATCAGTTATCAATCCCCTTAGGCTCAATGCCATTTAAGACTTTATTACTGTGACTAGTGGCTAAAGTGTTATTGAATCATCTAAGATACAAAAATTAGAAAAAAAAAAACAAAATAAACAAATCTTCTAAGAAGGATATTTCACAAGTGAGTTGTCATACCTCTTGTACCACTTGAGATTTCTTTTCATTTTCCTCTTTTTGCTTTCTTCTTTCCTCCATTTTTCTGCGTTTTTCCTGAAAATAAGACAAAACAAGACAAAACCACCTCGGTCAATCAAAGGAATCAGAAAACATTTCATAATGAAAGTGAATTACACACAGTACCACAAAAAATTATCATTTAATTATCCTGTCGATGATACAGAAGTGTATTTGCAAATTAGCACGACTGATGAATTTAAAAGAGATTGACTGATCTTTTTTCCCCTATAATTTAGAATATGAGCATGGCCTTTGCTACTTGGAAAAATTCTATAAAATGGGAATAAAAGAATACTAACCTCTTTCAGTCTCTTTGTTCCATCTTTGAGCTCCTTTTCGTAAATCTTCATTAATTTCTTTTCCATTCTGTCTTTCTGTTTCTTGTCCCATGTTGTATGCAATGGCTGAACACCAATAACTGCTGACTTCCTTTAAAAAGAAACACAACACAACCAATCAATACAGAACAAAAACTCCTGGTCAGGTAAATTGTCTACTGCTACTCCAATCAAACCAAGATCAAACAATAGGCCTATGGCATCCATTGGTAGTGTCTCCCTTGATAAAATTCCTAAACAGAAACAAAAAATTGATTCGAAGTGTTTCAGTACAATTTCCTTGAAAATTGTAAAAACTTGACATTCTATAGTACTTAAACTGGTGAAAATTGTGAAAATTTCATTCACCCTCTGTAAATTGATTCTTAATTCTTCATTGTTATCAATACATTTGGCTGTCTTCCATAGGTGTAAAGCAAGTTAACATTGAGGAAGAGGCAACAATTTGTGAAAATTTAAAGGAAAACAAGGTTTATAATGATAATTTTCAGTGATTGACATCATCATGCATAAGAGCTATTGGCAGGGGATTCTACCCTTAGCTGATCACGAGCCTGTGAATAACATCACTATTGTTCGCATTATTGGTATAATTACAATTATAACATTATCACTCTTATTACCATTGTATTACTATTATCATCAATAGCCAGGGATTTCATTAAGGGCTGGGCACCGGCCAAATTGACCGGTTGTAAGGACGGTTTTGCCCACCTGGTTTAACAATCTGGAGGAAGGTTTATCTTATAAAGAAGTTTAGTTAAAAAAGTTTAGCCTGCCTATGAAAACCAGTTGCCCTCCTGCTGAAAAAATTGATGAAACCCCTGATAAGCATCTTAATATTTTTACAGTACACCTGGCAATTTAGCCATCCAAGATTGCTTGGCAAAAATGACTAATAAAGACATCAGCCTGATGTCCAAAAAGCCTGGGATGCATAAACTTTCATCCAGTCTATCAATAAACAAAACAGATTTACGGCTTCAAATTCAGTGTCCCAGATATAGGAATATATCACGATTTAGAGTTGGTATTCCCCATCCCTGTGCACCAGGTAAAATTCTCTACCTGACCCCAGATTGTTTTCAGATCAATGGGGCTTGTATGAGTTGTAAACCCATTGGCTCCTGCCTGTCAAGTGAGTGTCTCCACAAATCATATTTGCAAGAAAACTGGGAATAGGAGCCTGGTTCTCTGTATTGTCTCCACAATACCACGTATGTTACTGGTTTTTATAAATGAGAAACTTTATGGTTGAGAGTTTTATTTCCTGTAACTTCAGAGATAGGTTGTTTACCAAAATTATTATGAAATCAAATTTGAAGATAAAAAGTGCACATTACTGGCGTCACTTGTTGAGGCCAAGATTTTAAAATTAAGTGACAATTTGACTTTCACATGCAAGATTTTCAAACAGTCCCATAATCTGTTATGCCTGCAGTTCTTGGATCAAGAAAACAATGGCTTTGTTTAAGAAAGGTTTGGAGTTATACAAAAATCTCTCCAATTCACACAACAAATCCTTAGTCACAGACTATGATCATGTGAACCCTAATTTCCATGCACATTCCATTTAACTACATGGATGGCTCATAATTGGAATATTACAACATTATTAAAAATATTGTTCACTCAATATTGGCGCACGTTTTCAAAGGACAGCACTTAATAACGCTTATTTTCAGCTACTATCATTACTCTTAAGGATGATCAAAAGAGATTCTGTGTAGCGAAGCCTCACGAATCAACAACTGAAGAGAAATACCCTAACACAAAACCTACAGTGATAAAAAGAAAGACCAGTTCGTATCTGATTCGGCGTAAACATAGTTAATTGTTCCAGTTGACGTTGTCAAGAGAGAATGAATGTTTATCTTTGGTACATAAAGCTTTGGTTGCAATGTTGACCTTGAAATGACATTTAACTTTAAAAAGAACTGACCTTTTCTTCTCACTCTTCCAAACCCTTCCGGACTTTGGTTTTCCGCGAGGGATACTTTTACGCTTTTCCCCTTCCTCCGTTATTTCGGAGGCCGCCATGATGTTCCATGTGCTTCATGACGCCCGCACATGAGTCAGCAGATTCATCATTGCAACGTCACTTCCTTATTCAATATGGCGGCCAAAACGTTTCAATTTGGACGCATTGTTCTCCAGCCGTCAGTGGTGTTTTTCCGTTCCAAATTATCGTTTGCTTTTGTGAATAGGAAGCCAGTGCTCCCTGGACATGTTCTTGTGTCTCCTATTCGTGTTGTAAAGAGATTTTGTGACCTAACAGAGGAAGAAGTCGCAGACTTGTTCGCTAGCACGCAAAAAATTGCTCGTGTTATTGAGAAGGAGTATGGGGCGACCTCACTCTCGATAGCGATCCAAGATGGGCCCGAAGCAGGACAAACAGTGGAGCATGTCCATGTCCACCTGTTACCAAGGAAGAGAGGAGATTTTGAAAGCAATGACGATGTTTACAAAGCGCTCGATGAACATGACAAGCAACAAATTGAATCCAATGGGACGGAATTTAGGAGTGAGGAAGATATGTCGAAAGAGGCAGCTAGTTTAGCTTGCTTTTTCTAAAGGTCTCTGATCAAACGTTAATTTTAATGATAAGAAATGTGTGCCGTCACGAGTAGGCCAGGAACCTATACAGTTAAGACGATTTCCAAACTTTCTCTGGTCCGGCTGTTCTGTCTAGACGCTGAAATGTTTTTGTCTGAGCTACAGCTAATGTTTTTAACACAATCTAAGCTGCTATAGACGATTGGAAGGTCAACAGCTACTATTCAAGATATGGAATTAAAAGTGTTGGTTTTGAGCTTCGAGCATTATCAATAACGATAGGATTGGCCAAAGGTTAAACTGTTTCTTTTAACCTCCTCTTGTTCGTCTTTGAATACTTCAGTCTATTACGTTCGAACACAATGAATACGACCAGTATGACGACAAGTCTGTCGGTCGAACCCGTGGCGCTGGCCAACCAGCCAATAAGCGAGATTGGTAAGATAGATCCGTAAATGAAATATGATTTAAATGTTTACAGTTTCAATTTCAGTTGATTGGTCTTGGGTTATCAGTGATTCTCTGTTAAGTTTATGAGCGGGTATTAGGGTCTATTAGGGTCTATTAGAAACCGGAAAGCGGTAGGAAAAAAAAAACATCCAAAACCGAAAACCGCATGTGTGGTGTATTTGCAGAGACTGGGCAGTATTCGTTCCAGTCTCCCCCGACGTTTGTTGTTCTGGTTGTGAAGCGATGCCAAGTGCTCGTGAATCGAAATAGAATTAAAGCTTTTCCTTCGTTGAATACGTCTTTTTCCTTCGTTGAATACGTTGATGCGTTGAATACGCATCAAATCAAGAGGAAGTTGAAAACAACGACAAAAAACAAGAGAAACAAAAGGAAAGCACACCGTCTTGTTGCTGATTAAAATCACCAACAGGATCACCTAGTGAATAGAGTGACATTTATCGTATATGTGCACGATCCTTCGCAGTAAAGCACTATTTAAGCAATAGTGAAAATCAGACCTGAAAAAAATTCAGGCCTGTACGGGATTCGAACCACTGACCTCTGCGATACTAGTGCAGCGCTCTACCAATTGAGCTAACAAGCCAACTGGGAGCAGGCCATCAAATTAATTCGACATAAACCCGTAGATGATAAATCAAACAACAAACATATGAAATACATATATATGAACTGCGGTTATGAAACGTATATGTGCACGATCCTTCGCAGTAAAGCACTATTTAAGCAATAGTGAAAATCAGACCTGAAAAAAATTCAGGCCTGTACGGGATTCGAACCACTGACCTCTGCGATACTAGTGCAGCGCTCTACCAATAGTCCTTTTTACAGTTGTGGGCTTGGTGGCCAAGCCTTTGAACAGGAGTGAGGCTTAGGGTGACCTTGTTATGATAGAGATGTCGCTGCTTTTCAAATGCAAATTACTTTGTTATCATGCTAACTAGATACAGGTCTCTATCACAACAGGGTCACCCTTAGCCTCACTCCTGTTCAAAGGCTTGGCCACCAAGCCCACAACTGTAAAA